ACCAACTCCAGTGATCTTGCTGAGTTAGAGCACTAATTACTTGATACAGCTCTAGAGTTCCAACTCCATCAGTGATCTTGCTGAGTTAGCACTCTAGTAACTTAATACCGCTCCACGGTACCAACTTACATTAGTGATCTTGCTGGGTTAGCACTCTAGAAATTTAATACAGCTCTCCAGTACCAACTTACATCAGTGATCTTGCAGAGAGCACGGATGGCAGCAGCTCTATACATATCCTCCTTGCCTGTCATGTCTTTTGTCAAGCTGCTAGTCACGATAATCACATCCTCAGCAATGTTAGCCATCTCTTTGATGACTAGGTACACCATACGACGAAGCATCACCTGTCAAGTAGGCCACAGAACAAATTGAAGTGAAACCCTATGCCACTCTCACGTTACTTTTTAGGGTTGAACTTTCCAAGCAGCTTTAAAGTTGGCTATTGCAAGAATAGATGAGAGCAGAATTTGACACTGATTGACAAAGATGTTTTCAGGTAATATCATTATGCAAAGTAGGTCAAGGTGTCTATTAGAGCACCGCAAATCCTTGAAAATAAAGAAAACTGTGATTTCTGACAATGCACAAACTCTATGCTGAGACACAGCCAAAAGGTTAAAATTTGAAGAGTTGTTGAATTTGACTCACATCATTTGACTGGAACAGCTTGGTCATGGCAAAGAATGTCTCAGTGGCTTCAGTTGTGCCAATGTGCTCTCCCTGTATGATGTGAAAGAAATTAGAAAAAATGGACAAAGGCTTGCTCTGTTAAAATGGAGATTGACTTGTATGATCGGATTAAAAACCATTCTCATTCAAAACAAGTTCATCTACATTTGGCCATTTGCCATTGTCGCTGCTAAAGCTAGGTGTCAGCCAAAGTTACAAAGTAAATGAGACCATTATTCTCCTTGCTTATTTTTTACAGTCGATGTGAAACAAAGATTAAACAGCAGTTATGCAGGCAAATTTGTCTGTCCTTAGGCAGAACAAAGAAATGGAACAACATGACCACGCTGAGATTTAAGACTGACCTGATTCAGAATGTACATGATCTTGGTTAAGATGTGGCAACACTTCCGTGGTTTGATGGGAGTCTCGTTAAAGACACGAGCCTACAGGGTAACAACAGTCAACAACACGTTCTTAGCAAAATGTGGGCAGCAATAAATTCAGTTTTGTACTCTGCAATTCATGAAATTCAAGCCAACATACCATTTCAAGGTCTATGGGCAAATAGTTTGAAGGTATGTCTGAAAAACCGATAATTCTAAGGGATGAATAAACCAGTTCTGAAAATGGAAGCAAGTACGCTGCATTTGATGCAAAAAAAGATTATTCCACTGTACATATGTTCTTTATTTCAGAAAATTGAAGGAAAACCTTTCCAAAAAGATGTCAGATCAGATTTTCTATGGTTGAATAACAAGTTTATCATTTTACATTATAAATCCGACGTTATTCATGAATACTTTGAAAAAAACAATTCTTGGTTTGGAACTCTTGTTATCTAGTCGGTGGATCATATGACAGCTCTACATACCTCCTGTAAGACTGCACTCTTTTCCATATTCTGAAATGGATTGGAAGAGCCTCCTAGACATATGAAGAAAAAAATCAAGCAAACACATGTAGAGTTAACATTGTGCAATAACAGTAAATAAAATATTCAGCGACATGTACACATAATCTCATTCTATAAAATATCCAAGGGAAACATGTAGATTGCAGGAAATTGCACTGGTTTCAATGCACAAATAGTTAGCACTGTGACTAGGATTCTCACATGCATGCACATTTATACCTTGTGTAAATGGGCTCAGGATTTTAACATCTGCCAAAGATTTGGGGGGATTTGACCTAATTTTCTTGTAATTTTAAGCAATAATGTCCAAAATGTCCTCAATGTGGCAAGCACTAGACATCTTCTTTTGAAACACCTTACAGCAAGACTTTTACACGACAACGATTGGTGGATTGGTAACATTGCTCTGGGATGAAGTAAGACTGTCCACAAGGTTGCAACTTGCACAGTATGTGTACACATGAAACAATCCTGGTTACCATGCAAAGAGCACCCGCATATTTCATACACTCAGCAGAGTGTCAACAGACGTGCGCCACAGTATGCAGTTCAAATGTGTGGATCGTTTTAAAAGAGACACAGGATTGTAAGTAAAATGGGGTTCATAACCATTAGCACCCGGTTCCTATGATATGGAAAACAAAGTCCACTGTTTCAAACTTACATTCAGACCTTAAGGATCCGTTCTTTAATCCTAGAACTAGTACTAGCTCTAGCTTAGGTAAATTTTGACAATATGAAGCAAAAAACCCAGAATCTTTTACCTGAGTTTTGGGAAAGATGACAGCATCACACCATTTTGTTTCACATCTTGTTAACCGACCTAGCCATTGTGGATATACTAAATGTCATAAAAGAAACTTTTATGGTTCCAGGTCAAGGAACCAGACTACATGCGCTGATTTGTCTTCATTCACAGCTCTTCATCGCATCATTTACGCTGCTGTTTTACCCATAATATCCCTCAAAATCCAAAACCCTTCTCTGTTTTCTTTCTCATATGAAAGAGGATGTCACTGTCAACTTATATAGGTACATGTAAGGTGTTGGAAAAGGTAGATTTTGCTTCCTCATTTTAGGAACAGGGTGCTAATGGTAATGAACGCCAGTAAAATAAGGCCTGAATTTTGCCTAAAATAACTCACGCACATCAAAACCCATCAAGCATGCATGATGAGATTTTGGGGGAACATTTGATTGACAAAGTGCAGTTTTAGGCAAAATAAATGGGCACATTCAGAATGTCATAACATTTCATAGGAGTGTGACTCAAAGTTTTGGGAGACGTCACCAGCCACTCACACTGGGTACTAAGAAGGGCAAATGCATGACATTCTTTCTGTCGAGCACTCATTGGTACTGGATAGAGTTCATCGGAACAAGGGTCAACATTTATGTAAACCCGTACGACATATCTGATACAGTCAGTGATAGCCGGCTGGCCATGGCCCATGATACAGCAGGGTCCGACTTTAACGCTGGTCCGCTATTCAAGTAAAAACGGCGGCGGACTAGCGAAAGCCCTTGTCTAAGTAGTCCGGCGGTCTAGTAAAACAGTATTCTGAAATAGGCGGCCAAATAGTTGATTGTGATTCATGCCCTCCTCTAGCTACTGCTGGTTTTTGAACGAAATAAAATAGGACTTTTTGCAACCAAGAATAGTTCAGTCCCTGGCACCAGCCCAGTAGAAGTAATGCTGAAGTCGATGAATGCAGCGGCAATAAATCACCTGAAACTTCTGTTCTGCAACGCCTTTGCGGCGCAATCGCATTTAAGGGCCGTTTGCTGTACCATGTGTGGCCGGTGCGACTCGACAACACCATTCAGCACGTGCTCTCATGCATTGCATCGTAGAGGTACATGAAATCATGAATATGCATCCCACGCATATGACATACTTAGTGTGTATCATACGCATTAAATTACTATGAATATGCATTGCTAATTTTTCTGATTGGTCAGAGGTAGTTGCGACCCAAGCGATGTCACGGTTGTGATTTCGTGTTTGGTTCGCACGCTACGGGTTGCACTACACCAAATACGCGCCCGTAGAAAACATTGCAAAATCAGACCGAAATAGCGCTGCCTGTTGACTCTTGGAAAGAGGTTGGCCTACGTTTTTTTCACTGGAAATTCAAGATTGTGGCCAGAAGATACTTTTCATTTCAATTTTATGGGGGTTAGCCACGAAATTTTTTTTATTCGCCTTTCCCCAAAGATACCTCCAAAATGGTAGTAAAACTATGCACTCGGCTCTGAATGTAGCCGCCCGCCACTTTTGAAAGAAATACCCCGAACTGGAAATTATCAGTTCCAAATTTGCGATTTATAGAAATATTTTCATGATCCCTCCAGATGATGGCATGTCTTATTGTAAAGTCCCCATGGGATCACAAAATATTAATGAGCTCACACGCAGAAATACAACCGTGAGGTGGAATATACCCCACAGGTACTGGACACAGTCGAGAATGAACATGTACTATGTACATTACGTCAGGCACGGTGTATGCGTACATATGTGCGTGTACATATACATGTGCATTGTGCATACTGCAAAAACGTACATGTACATGTACATAAACTGTGCATAATGATTTTTTTCTGTCTCTTGGATTGTGAATGAAACAAACCATTTCAGCAGGTAACCAATTTGTGTGTTTACTTTGCTGCTTGAGTAGAGTTATATACTCATGAATATTCTGGAAATTCCGATTCCCATGACCATTTATGATTACTCATCAACAATTAAACAACAGTCAGCACCGAGTGCACACTTATGCATGATGTTGGAGCAGAAAACACTAGTGCCAAAAAGAATGTTGAAATTTGGGGGATGACGCGGACTAGTGAAAATGCTGGTGGACTAGTAAAAAGCCATCACTGCTGGTCCCACTGGCAAGTGAGAAAAAAGTTAAGGGCAAACCCTAGTTTGTACAGCATAGCAAGTGACATTTGTCATTTGTGTGTTCATGGCATACGTGTACATGTACCTGTGGTCACTTTGGTGTATTTCCTTTAAACTACAGAAACTTGTGAAGTGCATTGCCTTCCAAGTGCCCTGCATGGGCAGCGGGTGAAGAGCGAATATAAATACAACATACACTCTGATACACCACCGCCTAAATACTATGGTAATTTATTACACACATCATGAAGACTGTCCGGAAAATGGACCACAATTAAAGCACAAGACCAGGCATACACGACATCATTTTGCCGGCTCATGAAACCCAAATCGTCTGAGATAATCTCACCATCTTCCTCATCCTTTTTGTCCCTCCTCAGCATATGCATGGTGATGTCAAGGACTGAACTCCCTTAAACCAAATTATTCTGAATTTTGGTGATTATTCCAAGTCAGCAAACACGCAAGCAAGCACGACACGTATCCGTACTCCACGTCACTTATACGTCGCTCTTGAGACTAATGAGGGCGCACTCAAACTTGGACAGACTCGATAACGGAGTCGGACCATGTCGTTACTCGGACTCAAAACAGAACAAAGCACTACAAGTAGTAGTTTCTCACACTCTTTCAGATCAACATATTTCGTTTAGACAGTAAATTATTTGACAACGCTCATTTTTTCTTCCGGTCATTTAGAGGGGTTAACAAACCCTGGTTGATAGAACAAAAAGGAGTTATAATAACCATGGCAGACTTGTAGCTCAAAATAATCAATACACATGGATACATTTCCAGGATTTTTAAAACTGTGTGTTTTAATAGTATTTCAATATTCCTATGAATATTTTTTGTTTACCTTGCCAGGCCTCTCCAGGATTGCCCCCTGTTTTGGTCTAAGTCTTCGGTCCCAACCCACCCCGTCTCCCCCCCCCCCCCCTTGGTCCGATGTTTTTGTTATTTGCTTAGAATTCTGTCCATGGTGAATGTTTTTTGCTGATTTTCGTTTGTCTTTTAATGTTTATCATTGTAAACCCTTCCATCCACTTATTATTGTATCACAGATGTGCATTACAGTAAAAGCTATTTCAAATATAGTAGACATTTGTAGTTCTCTGGAAATAACCACGGACCCCAAATGGTTACATTTGAAAAAAACCTATATTAATCTACAATGGAGTTCAACTTGAACAAGGATAATTTTAACCAAAAACTCTTCCAACCCAAATGCATGCACTCATAGACTAGGGTCTATTATTAAGAGCTTTGGTTTAAACGAATCAATTCAGACGAAAACCCCTCATCGCGTTTTACCGTTTGAACATTCTGTCACATTGGGTCGAATAGCAAAGCAGCTTCGAGAAAAATGTATGGGCCTATTTTGCCTCGTTTTTAGTAGGAGGGTGGAGAAAAAAGTGCAATGAGGGACTGGGACAAATCACTCATCCCTGTTAGTTTTTTTTTTAATGAACGCTATATAATTAGTCAATTTTACCTGCTTTATATGCATATATTGGGAGCATTTGCACCATTTTGTATGAATACTACCATCAACTAATTCGAACATTCTTTTTGCTTTTACCCAGACACGATCCCTGATCATATATGATCCTTAAAGGAACCAAGAAATAGATATATTTTATCAATTTTACTAAAAACCCTTGAAATTGCATCTTTTGGTTTCAATTAACCTATTTTAAAATGTTGTTTTGCAATTTTAGCCCACTCATATTTTGATGCTGCTTTGGTTTTATGATAATACAATTTGCATATTCATGAGCAGAACTTTGAAGTCATCCAAGGCGCCGAATCTCAATCATGTTGCAGTGATCTGAGCACAATTTTTAATGTTTGAAAAAGTGCACCGTTCCGTTCACTTATCTCAAAAAATATGTCAAACGGTCTTCATACATGGAAGAAGAGTACAGAGATACACAAAAAGTGATAAGAAATATTCATTTCCTAGATCCTTTAACGAATCTCACATTGTCGCAATTTACATCGCGTTTACTTCCTTGTCAAACTTGCCTTTTATTAACACAATACATGTAATGACCTTTCTGATGCAATGTAATTACTCAGAACTTTGCTCTCGCGTTGGTGGGCGTAAAGATCACGGGATTCGGATCGCAGTTCAATTACAGTCACATGTTTCCTTCCCGTAGTTGGCTCAGAGTATTTTTGACGGCGGTCGTGTTCCACAAAGTATTGTCACAAATACATGTAATACAAACAAGGTTTGAACTGTACCACACGGCAGAAGGTAACGACACTTTGGATTGGAAGGCAGAAGGTAGGCTTTAATTTTTAAAAGGTTTTCCATACTGCTAACAAACAGGGAAATGTATGACACTCACGAATTAAATAATGCTTAGCTCGTTATTACAGGCTTCTGTTTACTATTTATATGGGCAACATGAATAATTCATTACTTCAAAATAAAGAGTTACTATTTAATTTGCATGAAGTTTGTATATTGTGGAATGAGTTATTTTAATAATCGATTCTTGTCATCTTCTGTCGACCTTGGCATTAAACATTGCTTCCAGGTTTGTTCACACAAGATGACTTCTTCAATACATGTGTAATTTATGCGCCTACAGAGGAAAAACAGGGATCCGAGGTTGACAAGAATTGGAGGTAGTGTCTGGTCACACTTACTTCTGCTCGAGTTGAAACACATGCATTACTGATTATCTTAAACCAACTAAACTTTAGTTATAAGTCCCTACGTTGAAACCGAAGTGGAAAAGTATATTTAATATAAATGTATACACAGGGTAGACAATAGTCCCAGTCGGAAACCTTTTACGACTACATTCTAATAACCGAATACGCGTACCTCGTATACATGCAGTTCTTCCTCAAATTAGAGGAAACTATATTTTGAGCCCTACTTTGGATATAAAACCCCTTACCTTGATGCTCGATAGACATTGTCCCAACGTTTGAACCCTTTGTACAAGATGATGACAATGATTATTGTGCTACGGTACCCTCAGCGGTCAAGTGGTTGGTTACACCGATATTAAACAAGGTACGTGTACAGTAGATAACAATGTGTGTCAAAACGTGATTTCATCAAACGCGCATCACAGAAGTTTTGACCTGTAGGTCACTGCGAGGCAAGTTTCCTATTGGTGAGAAGTGATTCCTCATTAAGAGCAGTTTTATCTTATAACCGAGAGGAATTTCATACTGAAAATAAAAGCAGCGATGTGTACGTATAGTAATGTATATTTCATATGCATTTGCACTTTACATCTTGCCTGATACAACAAACTACGCAATTTCGATTACACTGACAATGACATAAATATCACAGTTGTAGGTCTACATCTTGGCAAAAGCCACTCTCATGAAAATTACCAAACCTTTGGTGGTTAGTTTTTATTGCAGTACTGATTCTGTTTCCGTCACGGTCAAAGGTGAACCTCGACCTCTCACGAAAAAAAGGATATTTTTAATATTTTGCTATAAAAAATGTCCATTTCTTGATCCTCTATTTGAAGGTTATGGCAATAAACCAATGAGGAACCTTTCTCAGATTTTTTTTTCCAAAGAATCAATTTGGGGTTCGAAATTTGAAAATGAAAATAAAAAAGCCATGCAGTGTCTTCCCCGATTTACATCACAGAAACAACGCCCTCATATTCTGGACATCTTTGGAAAATAATTGTTAATGTTTAATTAAAAAGTACACTTTTCAGTACTTTGGCCTAAGATTTCAGGCAGCTTTCATACATTGAAGTAGAGTATAAAAGTACACAAAAAATAAGTCTCAGAAAATTCATTGCATGGCCCTTTCAACCCTCAAAGAGCAGGGTATGTTGGTCCATCTCACAGCCGGGGGGGGGTGTCCCAAGAACTCAGCTGTACCGCGCCCGATTTTTAAAAACTTGGCCTACATAAAGACACTTTTCATCATTAAGCTGAAGTTTTGCTGATTTGGTTGTTATGGTCATTTGAAGTTCAAGGTTACACGCGTGCCAGCCCGCGTCCATTCAGCACCACAGTGGAAAAAATATGTATGTTTGGTTGACCTGTCTCGGAAAATGGGCGCTGCAAACGGTCAAAATGACCGCAAAGATTTACTCAAAAATCTCTCATGGCTCAGCCGCTGAAAAAATGCTCCGCGGCGATATCAGACAAAATTTTGGAAGCGGATTCTGCCCCTGGCTCTTTTAGGGTTACAAGACGTGTTTTAAATTAACACGGACAGTAGCGTTCCCCTGAGGACGGTCCATTTACATCCCTCGCATAGAAGTCGTATATAGTCCTTGTCCTAAGTTGAATTGAGTGCGATACCTGGTGGCACCTCTGAATGTACTCTACACTTTTCCCTGTTTCGGGTCGGTCAGAAGCTCTATTGTTTCAAGGCCCGTCTTCACCTGCAAGCGTAACGCGTGTCGGGAATTCTGCCGTTGTAGCAGTAAGTTGTTTTTCGATGCTTTTGAACTGTGTTTTCTATGGTGTACTATTTACGACAAACATTGCTCTCTCTCTTTAGCCTCCATCCGGGCGACGCAGCTACACGACGCGACGGCACGACGGCTCCCTTGCGTCGTGCCGCTGGGTTGCACCGTCGCCTTCTTGCCATTACGTTTGTACACACACGACACGTCGCGTCGTGCGTCGCGTCATGCCGTCGCGCTGTCTTAAGTCCTTTCCATATTGCATTTTTTCCCGCCTGAACTTCGCTCTGGACCAAAAGAGACAGAGTTAAGTTCCAGTTTCATTTTTCATGAACAAATCTTGTAGGCCCTTTGGGTGCATTCCATCAAATCGTTGGATTCCTGGGCGAGAGCTCATTAATATTTTATGATCCCACGGGGCTTTTACAATAAGACATTCCAAAATCAGAAGGGATCATAGAAACATTTCTATAAATCCAGAATTTGGGACTGATTGTTTCCACGTCGGGGTAGGCTCCTATTTCTTTCACAAAAAGCCCCAAATTGCGGACCTATTTTGGACAGAGGCGGGCGGCTACATTCAGAGCTGAGTGCATAGTTTTACTATTCTTTGGGGGTATCTTCGGGGAAAGGTGAACAAAAGAAAAAAAATCACGTGGCTAACCCCCATAAAATTGAAACGATCTTCTGTTTGTTTGTTTTGTTTTTTCTTCATTTTTCACACCTCTTGTCTACGGTCTTGCGCGGGCAATGTTGTCACTTTGGGTCGGTTCATTCGTGATTTGTTGAGAGTGTGAACATTAAAGTTCCTCCAAGACCCACAATAGGTTTTACATTGTAATGTCCAAACTGTCCACTTGTTTTTCCGTCTGGTGTCAATGAGTCAATACTGAAAATCTTCGTCAATTTAATGAAAAAAAGCCTTAATTTTAATTTTAAAGACTCACGGGAAACACTGTACTGAAATTCATTCATATACTGAATAAATTTATTGAAAACTGATAACTGTGAGAATCTTTTCTGTGAGCCCAAAATGAGCAGAACTTTGACTGCGAGCCAAACTAATTAAGTTTGTGCCACTTTCACCACAGTAGTTATAAATCAAATAAAAAAATGAGTTCCAAACTTGACTAAAGATTTACATTTAACGACAACTTTCTGAAAAGAAAAAGGCCAGTGTTAATTGAGAACGAATAATTATATAATTTAGACAAAGTTTCTTTTCATTGCGTTGACTGAATTTCCTCGTTTATTACTTCACTCGACGAAAACGTCAGGTCTCTGGCTGTCGCTCTAGTTTCATCTCTGCCCTGAAGATGGATATTCCGTCCCTCATATTACATCGTCTGTCACACGATTTGGGTTCAGTGCGTCTGCAGATCTCACATACACAATTCATGGTTTTCTTCGAGGTTTTGTAGTGAAATCTGCGGAAAAGAAACGACGAATTATTCATTCAGTTTTTAAAACCACTTTTGCCGATAAATAATATTTCAAACAGTCCGAAGTGTTATAGCATAAGGCGTGCAGAAACCTTGTGAATGTGCGAGTCACATGTCAAAAGCTGCTCCTTCTTCCAAATTTGATTTTACTATCGATCTCTAGCAATTCTCTGCTGCGCACACCTCAACCATTATTCTTTCCAAATTTATCCATTCCAGGGGCAGAATTCAGTTTTTCTTCGAAATCTGACGATTGAAGTACAATAATCTCAACCAAAGATTGCATAGCGACGCTACAACGGCACGACGGGACATCACGACGACACGACGCGACAGAACGACACGACGGTGTGACGACACGACGCGACGGCAATACATCAGGACACGACAGCCTAACCCACACTGCATAAAAACCATACAATGACAGGCGACGCAACGCTACGACGGCACGACGCGACGCTACAACGGCATGGCAGGACATCACGACGGCACGATACGATGGCAAGACGGAACGGCACAACACCATGAAATAATACCATCCCTGGAGGGAGGCTAAAGAGAGAGAGAGAAACGTGTGTCGTAAATAGTACACCATAGTTTTCGTTAGTAAACCCGGAAGTTCGTTGGCGATTGTGACACCTGATCCAGTCACCCATGACTTTCTATGAGCCAGCTCGAGTGTATTGGTGAAGTGATGTGGGTCAGTTTGTTCAACCACCCTACTCGGTGTACAGCAATGGGACGAAGTCGCTTCGACAGTGGAGCATTGTTGGATCTTTTCCTACCTCCATGACCTTTCATGGCGCAGGGGCTACAGTACAGGGGTACGACCTAGAGAGCAAGCAAAATACCCGCTATTATCATCTCCTTCAAACAACTCGGCTGGCATCAATTGAACAATTTTGTAAATTTAATGTGGCTAGGATGAAGCCGGATTTGCCATAATGCTCAGAACTTCGGAGCTCATCCCTTAATTAACTTAAGCAACGAAAGGCTGATGTGTACTCCCTCCGTCATCTGCAACGGCTAACTGAACATTACATGATGCCGGAAACATCGTTTGCTGACCTTTATAATATTAATGATGGCACTGCCGGGATTTGCCTATGAAAGAAAAGACCGTGACATGCAGAGGGCGAGTGGTATTACATAAGAAACTCGGTTCCATACAAAAATCTACTGATCTTGGAAGATGACGCATGAAGCGGTATTGATAACAGAAAGACCACGAAAACTCCACCGAAAGTAGTCATGATTGACCATCATGGGAATGCATTTCTCAGGACAATTGGCATAAAGCAAGAAGTGGATTTATCCACACGGCAACAGTGTATGTTGACTATATCTGAGCCCAATCTGTCATGTTTACGAAAAACCTGTCATTCTCTGAGAACTTGGTGGTGCCGTTTCAACCAATGATAGTTATCTTTAACTCTATTATTGTTATTTTTATTTCCAGTTTTCCTTGCCTCTAACCTTTCCATAAAAAAGATATCAGTTTTTATATCACAGGTTTTTAAGAAGGTACATGTAGGCCTATATTGCACAATTATGTCAATAGCTTGTACAGCGATGTACTGCTCGTACTGTACACTCAATAGATTTTTGGGTAAATGTATTTTGTTCAACTTAACGCCCAAGGCTCTGTTAAAGTTGAACTTTTTGCCAGTCGTTGTGTCTGTCTGTTCGTTTTGTTGGATTTAGTATCAATATGTTTCTCGAGGCTTTTTTATAGATTTGGTTCATAAGTAAATTTTGTCCTCGTGAGTGGCAAATTCATTTAGACTTGTTGACTTATCAACTAAAATGATATGTAACTTTTTAAAACTAATATGCGTCCCTTTTCAGCATATCTGTATTGAATTCAACCGTAACCCTGGCTGCCAATAAAATGCAACTTATTTTGCCTTTTTTTGTACCAAGGAGGCAAAAATGGAGGAATTTTCGGACAAGACACCTTTGTTACCCACGCCCTATTCTCCCACGCCAGTCAACGACGCGTACAGTGGACCTGGCTTAGAACACCAGCCAATTAGCAGCCAAGCTACAGATGTCAAGGATTTTTACACTTTCAACTTCAGGGGCGGTCGCAGTTTTACGGTATAAAATATTGTAATTTCCAAAACTTTTCCAAAATGTATCATAGTTTTTCGTCTAGTTGTTTTTCCTTATTACGATAACCTCCACCATCTTTGTTTTTATGAAAGCAGAGCAACCAAGCTTCTTTCTCATTCTCCGATGATTTAGACCAAAGGATGGTGACCGACAACTACGTGGCGGGGAGGGGGGCCGGGCACGTGCACCGAGGCCTCCAGCAGAAGGCGTTTCCCTGGATCCCCCATTTGAAATTTGAAAACGTTCACAAACTACATAGAAAGCAATAGTTCATTTGCTTTCATTTCCTGAAAAATGTTTGTATCCATCCCCACACTATTTCCATTTCAACATTTCGATCGCCACAAAAACCTGAGTCCTCCGCAAAGAAGGCCAACTTACAGGAGCTGCAAACTTTTGGGAAAAGTTTTAAATATATCTTCAAGGGCTTCTCTTGACTTACGTTTCCCTGCATCCTTGTTTGCATTACAAGTTTGCTTCAGCCAGCAGTAAGTTTCATTCCTCTTTACTATGCTCATACAGATCAGATCGCAGAAGCTGAATGTCATACTGACTGTGCTGACCATACTGACCAATCTTATGATGTTCGTCACTCTTCCACTCCTTAACAACACTGTCAACAAGTACAACGATTACTATCCAGTTCTCCTGTACTCTTCCATTTGGTTCCAACCCTTCTTCTTCGGCCTGGTCTTCCTCAACAAGTACATCAACCCCCTAGCTGAGACGAAGTCCTCTGTATCCCACAAGGTGATGGCATTACTTGGACTGCTTAACTCCATTAACGGTGTCCTAGTGGTTTACGGCGCTGACCCCCGACGGACATCAGGCTCACTACAAGCTTTGCTCTCAACGGCCAGTATCCCATTCACGGTCATATTTCGTTTCATATTACTGAGGAAGGGTGAGTTTTGTGCTGCCATGGAGGTGGCCAATTTTGTTCTCTAGTGAAGCATAGCATGAACATTATATGCCGACACGTTAAGTCACTGGATTTTTTTCGCAAAGTTTGCTTTTATTTACTTGAGTCTTATCAATTTTCACTCGAGTCAGGTCTTCTGATGAGGAACTTGAGTTGAGTCATTTGCTCGCAAGGACTCGAGTCAAGTCATTTCGGGCCACTGGAGTCAAGTCGCAAAAATTGTGACTATGCTCGAGTTGAGTCATTGACTCCAGTCAATGCAACTCTGGAGGTTAGGCCCTCGATTTTATTACAAGCAAAACGCATCACTTAAACTCTCGAAATGTGGACTTCAGATACACCACTCGTTTAATTAAAATGTCCCTTAATTTTATAAAGAAAGAAGAAAACCCGTCAAATGAAAAAAAATCTTCCTTATCTTGCTCTGACCTACCTCACACTTTCCTCCCCCACAGGAGTTGGTAGAGGCCGCTTGGTGTGCACTGGGATTGTTCTCATTGGGCTCTTCATCGCTTTAGAGCCTGAGATCTTCAACATTGGTGGGCCCACAGAGCCGGTGGCTGGTGCTGTGACCGGAGTCATGAAAGTTATCTGGCCCATCATCTTCCTGCTTGGTTTCCTTCCCCTCGGAATCCTCAACGTACTAATCGAACGAGAACTCAAGAAAGACCAGGTGATATTTCGCACGCTTGAGTACAAATTTCTCAAAGAAGCATTAGTGCACTGTCACTAAATTTCAGGTGGTGATTTTGAGGATGACCAATGCTCTTAGAACAATCTATGTAGGTTTGTTAAATGGTGAAAATGTTTTATGAAAAATCAGTCTTAAAGTGTCATCCGATGGATTTTCCCAAACGGCTTGATTCTAAAACGGATCTCTTTTTTCCTTCTCATGATCGACAGACGGAATCTCTGGTCTTCTTGGCATGGGTTCAGCTTTACAATGGGCTGTTCATTGCGTTGTTATTCTGGACCGATTTCATACCTTCATTTGGCGCGGTAAGTAGACGCACTCTTCATCAGAAGGATCGAAATAAATTTTTTTCCGTAAGTGACTTTAGTAGGCCTGAGCTAAATAGTGTCAGAAATAATTACATGAACTGAACTGCTTGTCGGTTTAATCCGACATCAATTGCTTCTTTAAACACTGAATCACAAACATTTTGTCCTTGACAACGTTTTCAAAGAGCCTCACATTAACTGTAAACACATTTTATGGCTTAGAGGTTTTCTTTTGAGAAGAAACTCCAGAACTTGCGCAACATCAGGATAAGAACCACAGAGGGAACCCGAAACACTATGCATTATCGGTTCGGGCAGTAATGGGTACCATATTGCGTTAGTCCCTCAGTTCCTTGCAATTAGACCAACTTTTTGCCCGTACTTCGCCGTCCAAGCAAACGTGCTGATCAGTCTGGGAATAAAGTTTCCATTTTTATTTCCATCCAAACAGGCGGAAAATATTAACGAGTTTGGTAGGAACATGCTGTATGCACTCAAGTGCATGTACTTCGCAGACTCTACATGCATGACCGCAGCAGCTGCTTACTTCGTGTTCATCATAAGCTACTGCCTGGCCAACCTCATGGTCTTTCTCCTGGTCAAATACGCCGAAGGAGCCATCTGGTTGGTCCTTGTCCAGGCCTTGGTTACTCCCCTAGGAAGTCTGTTTTTCACCCTCTTCAGTGTAGCCGCCCCGCCTGGTCAACACGGAAAATTCCACTGGGCGCCAAACTTTGACTTGGCCGTAGCTTTCCGGTTCGTTGGTTTGTTTATTCTAGTGCCTACGGTCATCTTCTATAATTACTTTGGAGAGATGGAGAGGAGAAGAGCCCAGCAACAAATCATGGCTGCACAAGAAACTGAAAAATAACCTGGACCAAGTTAACGTTATGAATAATTGCAGAAATGGTGTCACTGAGAAACAGAAATTTAAATTAAGTGATTAAGTATGGTCTATCACAGCTCATGTAGTTTGAAGTGCATGGGATTGGGTGCGGTTAGTCTACGCGATAGCCGCGGTAGTCTGCATGATACTCTGACTGCCGCCAGACATGACATTTGACCCAGAAAGAAAAATAGGCCTACATGAGTACAAAACTATGACTCCAGAAAAAAATCTGAAATTCTGGTGATTTAATAGGAAATGTTGTGGCTGGACTACGACGAACTAGGGCCCAATGTAGGCCCGCCTTTCAAATTCTCTCCAGCACCTTTAATATGCTACAATGGAGTTAAAAATGAATAAAAACTCATATTTGGGAAACTGTATCTTGCGAGGACACTAGCCCCTCCCACTCTCACATGTTCCTGACTGGTTTGTACTACGTATACTCTTTTTTGTACTTAGCTAGTACGCAAGATACAAATTAATTCATTGGAATGAGTATATAATAATTGGCACTCAGCGCAAAAATCCACCTGATACCAGGTTCTCATGGCGCCAACCTTTTCTCTGTGAGGTCAGACAAATTGTATCTCAACTTAATGTTCATAGTGTGTACTTCAATCGAAAATGGTTCAAAATATTTATATTTCTGAAAAATCATTTTGTGAAAATTTACATTTACCTCCATATTGTCGTTCAAAAACACTTCAGAAAGTGGTCCACTGCGACTACGAGATTTGACAAAAAATACAGAAAGTGGCACTAAATATTAGGGTTGGAGTGTGTAAAATTTTGATGATTTTTTTTGCAAATATAAATATGAATCAGATATGTGTCTCTGGGTGTTTTTATTTGACGCATACACCATGTACATTAAGTAGAGACCCATCTTCTCTGTCTTGATTTAACCCTAACCCTCCTCAATCCTTCACCTGTTGGAGGACTGAGGAGTGTTAGGGTTAAAGAAAAGTTGGTAAGAATGAGTAAAGTTCAAGTGAAGTTGGAGGAAAACTGGTTTTGTTCCACCAGGTGTGTGTAAACTTGCCTCAACCGTATCCTTAAAGAGAGTATTTGACACGCGTAACAAACCATGCTACACTATTTGGTTCTCTCAGTAGTTTGGCAAAGTTTTGTTGATGAATACCAAAAAGAAGAGAATTGTAAATATCCACAGAAGTATTAAAGCTAATTCATGAAGTATTCTTACGTTAGCGCCTACATTGTTTTAGTGTGTACAGAAAGGTAACCAAAAGGTGTTTACCCTTTTCGTTTGGCATTTTGTGTTCTTTTAAAGCTTGGGAGTTGTTAAATTTTAGATAGTAGTTACATGTTTCAGGTGGAGTAATTGCGACATGTAAAATATTGAATTATCCTCTATACAAAGCAACAAAAATATTGTTCATCTCTAGCTCTGTATCAATGCATGTATACATTGACAAAATTCTTATTCTTACGCGAATCGACAATAACCTACTTTGAGCTGAAATAATGCATTAATGACACCGTCTAAGAATAATTCCATGGGTGCATAATATTTATTGTAATTTAATCGCTACCCTAACTTGCAAAATCTGTTTCGCGGGCTTGATTCATTTTCGTTTAGCAAGTGCTGAAGATATATCAATCATGGAGAATTTTGGTATTACGCACTGTTTTTTATTAACACCGCACGTTCTGAAATATACACCAAAATCTGAGTATATTCAATTCTTTTCCGAACACGTATGAATGCAACACTAAAATGTTTCACTTTGAAAATATTTAAAAATGATTTTTAACATCAATCGGATTGAATTTGTCACAGCCAGAAAGGCTTATAGCTTTATTTAAAGACAGGCACTTTCAAAGAGGAAAAACATACAGACAATTAAAAATATACATTCATCAATCCATTTCCACTTCTGTTCCTTTATTAACAACCGACAAACGAATGACTACTTAAATTATCTAAGACAGAAACAATGGAATGGGGCATGTCTAGTTGTAGACAAAATGACCAAGCTTTCAACAATGAGGTTGATATATTGCCAAGTTGCAAACACTTCATTTAGCCCATAAATCATGAAGAGGCCAAGTAGGAGTATGAGACCAACTCATTAATGACTTCTGAATCTGGTTGCTAGATAAGTCAACAGACGTCTTATAAGTTGTTGACCTTTCCTGCTTGTACAAAGGTTAACCAACCAGCTTACATCAAAAATTCCTGTGACATTGCTCTTTGTCTCTTTATACTTAGTGACCACAACTGTACGAGGGTCAGGATAAAACTTGAAACTAAACATATAAACATAATGGGTCCACTGTGTCTGTGTTAAATCAGACATCTTGTAACTTCTTAAATGATTTGACTGTGTATAACAATTTCAGTTATTTGTATTCCTAAGCTGTAGCCAGAGAAAAAAGTGTTTCAAAGTTACTTTTCCTGAAAGATACTTTGAACAGTAATAAATTAGTATTACTTTTAGTAACTAGAATTAAAAGAGTGATTTCCTTAACTGATCGTGAGTTTTAAATGTTTCTAGATGTTTTTGCCTCTTTGCAGCATATCACACAATACCTGAATAAATCCCACTACCTGATTGGTGGGTTGTCAATCAAACGTCACTGAACTATTTCTACCAATGTAAGGTGGGGCTGCATAGAAGTTTTATTTCATGATAAATGGCAGTAACATGTCACGGTAAATGGAAGTTCCACTGAAGGGACATACCTTGGTGGCGCGATTAAAAAACCCTCTTTGCACAAAATCCCTCAATTCAAGTTGGTTATTTAAGTGATAACAGGAATTTATTCAGTCATTTATGAAACACTTGAATACTACACATCCATGTACAAGAAAATGGGGGAAAAAATAAGTTTCATTTGGTGACGAGAAATTCCCACCCATTATTTTGTGAAATTGTTCTCAATATTAACATTCACTATGTAAACTACTGGACACTTCAAGCAAAACCTCAGTGACAAAACTGAACTGAGCCAACCTGTTCATTTGATTCAATTGAAAAAGGTATTAAAAGTCTTCAAAATATACAAATGACCTGCGCTTCACTGTCCTGGTCATTGACATCTGAAGAATTTCACCAATCCCATACAATGCTGAACAATTGTTTTCTAATGGAACCAAGGGCACCAATTCTATTGAGATTAATGGGACAATTTATACATTGGCATGCATATTACAGAGTACACCGATGAAAGGTGATCTTAGAATCTAAGTGATCTTTCCAAAATACTAGACAGTAGGTCGCTGCCATATTTATTCTGATCATAGTCCATAAATTGCATGATTGTCTACCTGGGTAAATATCAAAATACCACAGGAGTTAGATAATGCATACTACATGAGTTTTGTGGGTGATAAATGCAAACACGTGGCTAAGCAAACCAGGTGGGCAACTCTTCTGCCATCAGAACACAGCTGTAATCAGCCTGTTCAATATTTCAATAAAGACAAAATCATTTGAGAACAAACGCTAGTCAATCATGGCCGTACTGATGGGGCAAACCTCATGTGCACATACATGTATTTCTGTTCATGAATGACCTCTGAAAGTCATCATTTTGGGCATGTGCTGTTGGAATACCTCACTCTCTCGATGTCACTCATGTATGTTTCCTTCCTCCACTTAGTTTTGCTTTTTGTTCAGAGTCGTATGCTGAATGCCAGTGAGCTTTTTGTGATGGGAACGAGACATCTGATGGAATTATTTTGTTATTCGGTGGTCTCATTTAATTAAATATGCAGTAGCGTTTTTGAGCAGTGAAACTTTATTTCCTCACTTCCTGTAAATCATGATATTCTTGCAACCCGGGTTTTCACAAGAATGTGGAACACATAAATATGAAGCCAGCGTTGAACTAAAGGCCATCCTGATGGACATTAGCTTGCAAAAGTTTTTTAAAGCCAGATTAATGAACGTAAAAATATGTTTCCTGTTGATTTTATTCTGTCACAGCAACCCATTACCTAACCGAAAGTCCAGTTGATATTCAAATTCAGTAGGGTTTAATTGTGTCGATAAAAATCAGTTTATTATATGTCAAGGACTGATACTGGCTTCTAATGACAATGTTGCATAAAATGGCTTGATATCACTTTTAAAAAACTTTTGCACTTTTGACTTTATCATGTGTGCCATTACAAACGTCCATTGCAAATATGAAGCCAACGTTGAACTACTGGCCATCCTGATGGTCATTAGCTTGCAAAAGTCCGAGCATCTTTGATTTTGTTCGGACAAACACAATAAGTGCTTGGAAAATGTCCGATGTCCGACCGTAATTTCATGCTCTGAAATATATATGTGGAGTACATGTACATCTTCAGGAAAACTTGAAGTATTTTCAAAGGTTTATGTTGTACTCTGTGTTGGCAACACGCGGTGCGGCATCTCCATATGAGACCAAGGCATGCATAAGTATCCAACACTGGCTAAGGCTATTCACCGTTTCCTCTTTTGATCAAAAGTCTAAGCTGTAGTCACAGGAAACTGGACTGGCTACCCCTGTCATACACCCCACACATTCCCATGTATTGACTAAATTGATACACCGGCAGTGCAGAACACAGGTGCACTGTGTTTTGGTAAACGCTCAACACATGGTCTAGACTCAGCCTTCCAATACTTCATACTAGTTTGAATACGCCTTGTTACTCAACTCCTTGAAAGTTAGACCTGTCTGCACCACATCATCTACATCTGTGTCTGATGCATATGGGGGGTGTTGTTGGATGACATCAGGAAAGTGGGACGTACATGTATGAAGCATCAAGATGTATCAACAGGTCAAAGGTCGGAGGTCAATATAGACATGTCGCCTCATTCCCGGTGACCCTCTAGGCTGAAGGAAAGCTGGGGGGAAAAAAAACAAAAAAACAAGACCAATTATCAAAGAATTCAGTGACAGTATTTCCTTGTATTTAAAAACAAGTCAAAATTCACAGTATGCAAGCCAGTATTCGCTTTGTTCTTACCTGTGTGGGGTACGCTGTAGTATACGCAGGCGGGACAGTCTGATCCCCTGATATTAAATTGCCGGTGATACCTAGAATGTAGGGACACACAACAGTTACCTTCCAAGTTAACAAAAATGTGGCATCTGAGAAAGAAGACTTTACTGCCCCTAGTCCTTTATGTAAACAATAATTGCCTTCCTTTTCAAATGTTATTGATGCATCACCAATCTGTATCACTGGCTTCACTAGGATTATGTAAATGCCAAGGAAAGAAACCTACAGTAAATTCCATGAACTAAGCTAACATTTGAATGTTGGGCATGGCCCAATTAACTGTAGGCTCATTAATGACACCAAATGTGAGGTGACTTTACCTTTAAAGAAAGTTTTGAGCTCTTACTCTTTTATTGTAATCTAATCAACGTAAGTTTTCAATTGTGAGGTTCACTGATAGAGCAAGCTTCACAAAACTTACAAGGTTTGGGAAACTCCACAACTAAAATCAAAAGCGCTTTTTATGGACTGACCGAACTGCTCTTGGAGGTCTTCTAAGCTGTCTGTTCTTATCGTTGTAGTTGTCATGCCAACCACCGACTTCTCTCCTTTCATTGACTACAGAATCACAAAGTTGTGTAAAAATATGAGTTACACTAAGCATGCATATCCACATACAAGTCATCACCATTTGAAAAAAAGAAAAGAAATGATGGAATGTCTTTTGTCATTCTGAGAAACCTGAGCAACAACCTGCCGAAATCAGAGAAAGGGACTTTTACACCGCATGATCGTAGACCTGGCAACTTTTAACATTTTGATCCTCTTGCACCTCAAGTCTGCAGAGTAGGCCAACGAATATCATAACTATCTTTAGTGTGGGATACAATCAAAGCCTTATGGTGTCCCTTTCTTCACAGCAAGCAAGCCTCACAAAGCACGCTGTCTAATAGCTAAACTGTTAGCCCTAAACCTTTCTGATGTCTCTAAATATAAAGACACAATGGGCCTTTGCCATTCTATGCTTTTTGTTTGCCAAAAACAACAACTTGGAAAACACCAAGCAAGCCAAGGTAAAATGATGATCATTTGTACTTTGCCCAGTTTTACTTTTTTCTTTGATTACTTGGCCAGTAATTACATAGTTGATTGCCAAGTTACAGCTTACAGTCTATTACTATGACATAAACTGCAGCTGATGAGGGTTCAAGTAATTTTGTTATTTGAATCAGGCTACTGAATTTCTCAAATGTTAGGCAACTTTTTTCCAGACCAAACTTTGACTTGACAAAATTCAAGTTGCATTTCATACATCTCTGTATTTCTGCAGGTACAATTTCAGTGGTTCCACATAGTTGTCAAACCCCAAGGTGGACATCGCATACAGGATATCTTCACCATTGATGGTTTTCCTTTTCTCTTGATGACACCTGTCACTTGCTCTGAAGCTTCCAGTTAAGGATCAAAGTCCTTCAATTATCACCAGGATGTATGAGCCAAAGCTGGTAGATTTCAGAGGATTATTTTCATCTTTATGTTGGCTCAAACCAGGACAGCTCTCTTTTCATATTTAGGGTGATTCTAAAAAAGTAAACCCAAGTTTACGGTGATTGTTCGCCCACATCCAGCAATCCAGAGACTTTGTATTTACTTAGTGTTGATAGGTAAAGTGTTAAGCAATAATCCTGCAATGGTCTACAGGAACTTCATTGCTCATAAGCATGATTGAACACAATGACATATAAAGTTACCACTTTTTCAGAATTATTGCTAAATGCTCTAGTCATCAACACTAAATGAATAAAACTTCGCTGGATTGTAAGATGTGCGTGAACAATCACCTTACACTTGGGTTTACCTTTTTAAACCACCCCATATAAAAACAGGATAGATTTACACCTCTTGCGAAAATTGCTGAGTAACTGCAAAAGTATAGTCAAGATTTTCCACTTCTTTACATTTTCCTTGTTAAAATACCAAGACATTCCCAAAGGATACTCGCTTGTGATGAAACTGATGAACTCTGACACACACTCCTGGACACATTCTTTCGCTTCCTTGGATATCTGGAGGTCAAAGGTCAGGCAACCAAGTCACATCTTTGGTACTAAATGCCCGTTCAAATGCCTGGTTACTGTTGCATTTTATTGCATGAGAACAAAAGTCAGCATTATGTAATTCAGAATCACTTGATCTAATTTCAATCCTACAACACATCTCTAAATGTCTTTCTCCTAAGTACTGCTCTAAGAAAGTCAAAGAAAACAAAAATTGTCTCCAATGTCACAAATTTCAGCAGAATGACCAAATCCATCGAAAGTCTGTAGTAATGCAGAATGCGCCAATAAAATGTACCCTTGAAATTTTGGTTGAATTACAAAATGAAAAAGCATTCCTGAACTGATTCACTAAAAATGTACAACTTAAATCCTTAGAGAAATTAGTTACCCCATGAGAATAACATTTATCAGGTTGGTTATATTGAATAAATCTGTTAACCTTGATATTTTCAAATGTCCTCTATCACTTCAACATACGATAACTTTAGTTTCTTCAAATGAAACTAAACCTCACCTTTCCTGACTTGGGGATACCATTCTTCATGATGCGGCTGACGTTAGCAATGGGCAGAAACCTGTCTTGCTCTCTGAGAGGGGAATTACTCTTGTCTTCTCCTCCAATCTCTTCTTCAGTACCTCCTGTTAGCGTGTCGTCTGAAAAGATTGGAAATAATGAACAACTGAACCATCAAACAAATCTGTGGTGAAGCAAAGTGCACTTCGCTACCGTTTGGTTCTGTTTCACTAATTACACGAGAAACTAAAGTTGGTAAAACCTCTCCCACATTGATTAAGGGTATTTCGTAAAAATTTGAAAGAGCAGGCTTTAATTCAAACTTTGAGCGAAGGGAGGAAAGAATTCAGGTCTAGAGAAACTGGGTATTTTTCAGTAACATACGACGTGGTTACAAGGGCCAATATTTAGGAGGAAAGGGATACATGTAAGAAACTGGCTTTTTCAAGCAACTTCTCATAATCTACTGTATGTTGCAACTCTTTCATTAAGAGCTGTGAATGGGTACATTCCAGGCAAGCAAAAGAAATCATCACTTCTGAGAAAACTCCCCTCCCCCCCAAGAAAATTCAGCAACACTTTTCAGCATGGTACAAATGCATTCAATTTTAAGAAAGAAACTATTTCAATCTTCTGCATATCCACATTATCCACATTTTCTTTCATCTGATTAGACTGATAACCAATCTCGTTTGAGAAGCAAATGGGTTTTGTGTAAATGCCTCCCATACAGACTGCTATTTCACATCGACCTATCTGTTTTTGCACTGCAGGCAAACTTATTCGTGAACTGAATGGAACATGTCCCAACTGAATTGAAGACCCAAATGTACCAGACAAGCCAGTCATGCTACACGTAGTCCCAACAACCGTTTGAAACAACTCTTAAACGTTGTGGTCTATAAAAACCATTCACACATTACTACAAAACTGGTACGGGATTAGCTTTGTAAAGCTGTAAAATGGCTTTCAATGATGAAATTAATATGAAACAAACAATGGTAGACTCCCATGACAGGGTGTGAAGTCAGACACGAGCCTCTAAATGAAGCAAACGATCCTCAGCTACATATACATGTATGCTTCTGGTATCTTCTAGTTATGATTCATGAATCGCCATACAGTACTTCATTGATAAATCCACAATGAATACATGTACACCTCCAAAATAACAAAAAACACTTTGGTAGACAGCGTGGCCTTTAGTACCTACACGTACCTTCTGTGGGGTAGAGAGAATTGGCTAGATTTCCATAATCCCCCGCCATAGTGAGAACAGGTGGATTATCAGAAGATGTCTCAGGATTGTCCATCAGCAAGACTTACAGGAACTAGAACTTTCTGGTTGCCAAGAAGAACAATTGCCAAGGTGAGTACATGGACTGAAAAAGATAGAAATTGCAGTAGAGTCAAATTCAAATATGAAAGTGTTTTAAAAATGTCTTAGTTGGTTAGCAAGTAGCACAGGAGGGAAAAGGGCATAAATTCAACCGGAAAAATCACAGTCAAGCCAAACGCAATTGTTCTTTGAGAGGGGCAATATGTAAACAAGTGAAATTCTCAGCATATGCAATGTTAGGCTTCAGAAGTAGCTACTGGGGTATGATCCCACCACTTGTTTCTGCTCAATGTGACCAAGTACCAGTTTTGTTGACCTCACAAGCTGGATGACAATAATTTCCCTTTTCAAGCTGAGTGTCCTGTTATATCCATGGCATGCTTCAGACACACACACCAGTACCTCATGCCAGAGTACAGACAACTTGCCATAGTGGGATTGAGGACAAGTTAATCATAACGAAGACTGTAACTTCATCCCACAATACCACATCATCTACTGTGTTTACAGTGGTTTTTCAATGAACCTTTAACTGAGAATATGAAATACATGATATGTACATGTACGTACCCGTACATGCACTCAGACTGGTTTCCTGTATTGTCATAATATTCCGAATCCGGACGATACGATGTATTAAACCACACTGACTTGCAAATTTGCCAAATTTTCCTTGAAGGTAAACAGATAATGTAGACGACTACGGACTAATTAATGGCTACATACTATCCAATATTCTAGTGCCCCTCGAAATATGGGGCTGCCTCTCACTCTCTGTGATTGATACTTATCGAAGCAGCATTGTCCATGCAGTTTTAGGGCTGATATATGGGTATTTTCCTTCTTCCATTCATTAACACGATTATTATGTTGACCACATCTGTTCATCATCACCTGATCACTGGAGACTTCCTTCTCGCATGATTGCATCCCTACAAATAGGGCCCAAGAGCTGTACTGCCTCCATGTCCTGACTATAGAGTCTGGGCCTCATTTATGGCAACTGTGGGGCTACCATGGCATGAACGATGACACAATCACCAAGCCTGGGCCAATGTGTTAATGCCAAAGATCCTATAGTGCTGCATTGTTGTTTGCCATCATCTCCGTGATTTCTTGATCTTTTGAGGTTTGTCAATCATGTAAATCTTCCGCACAATTTGTGGATAATTCTGCTATCAGCCAATCGTTTTCTGATTTGCAATTGTGGAAGACTGTTTCAAGAAAGGAAACAAAGTCATTAGAGATTTCAACTGATGATAGCACAGCACAATTATGTAATTTCCTTAAAACTTGGTGAAAGTATTGGAAATCTCTCTCATCATGATTAGTGTCCATACGTATGCAACCCAACGAGGCTACTTGATGCAGGCATTATTGCAACTATGGCCAAGCAATGCTGCAAAATAGAGCTCAAGGCTGGCAAAATTGTATGTTTACTAAGAAATGTTACGCAGAGTGTCTAAAAGTCCAGGAAAATCACATGCATGCGTACCCCCAGAAATGTGGGGTCTGACATCCGAGCGGCGAGGAAGTGAGAACTCACAGTTCCGGGGTTATCGTGGAGTACCCTAAATTTGCATGTACAAATATTTGCTCAATCCCTCTCTAACTTTCTAATTGTGAAACTCTTCAATGAAATTATGCACTGATGCTAATTTACTATCAATGATCAATCGTCACTTCAACAGTTTTCTTTTTGCAATTGATTGTGCGAATTAAAAGCTTTTTCAGGGAGAATTCAGGAAAAATGTCAACAAAGCATGAAGCTGTACTTTACAGACTAAATACAAAATGAACCAGTTTAAATTGTCTAATAAATGCATGAATGATTGCTTGTTTGTTCATGATCGATGTTGGACGTCCAATTTGTGCACTAATAAGGACTCTATTCAACTTTTGTCAAATATTGAGGGCGTGATCAAAAACACGGAGACTGAAAAAGCACTGCACACCTTAATGTTCATGACTGTATCTTTTGAGATTTCCATTGGCAATGACAGGCTCAGATTCAGTGGCACCGTCAGGACAGCATTTTGTGACTTTTTTATCATAATGTCCGATAAATAACTCCTATTAATGCTCATTATGATTTATTTGAAAGGATAAAAATTCATGCCTCACTGTAAGTTCAACTTAAATTGAAAAAAAAATTAAAATCTAGGAAAATGAAAAAGTGAAAGTGATAAGAAGTCAAGCTATAGCGAATAAAAGTGCTTTTCCCTCAAACTGCATCACTAAACCGAAGTAATTACTGCAAAAAATAATTCCTCTTTCAAGGAACATTACATGCAACTGGCAGATTTTTCAGAAGTAGGACATTACCGATACCTCGTAAAATGGCATTTGCAACGTGCGTCACAAATTATGGTGATGTAGGTTTTACTACAGCTGATCTGACTTGTTTGCAGACGACACTGTTCCTGTTGAGTCGGTGACATCCAATGGCAATGTTCTTCATTATATCATGTAGGAAGGAGGGGATATTTTGTCAAGCTTTCAACTACTGAAAATGGAGCCGCAAAATGTTTATAGCTCCATTTTTTAACAAATTTAGTGCATTTAAGAAAAAAATTTGGTCAAAGTACAAAGTGGGCAAATTAACCCTATGGTGACTTGTGTAATGCATGCCACTGTATCTTGTGTAGGCCTCAACCATGGGCAAGGCATACAGACATCACTTGACACCCTGTCTGTGCACAAGTACAACCCTACTGACCAGACTGGTCTTGAAAATTCCAAGTGTTTTCTAAGTAAATGCTTCAACAGTTTGACTGCTACAATTGACTTTTTGGGACATGTTATCACTTTCAGATGGCTAGGGAAAACTGGTGACTGAACTCTTACTAATCAGGTAGGGAAACAACAGGGTAGGCACGGCATGACTACAGCTTCTAACCCACCACTGGCCTGTTTCAAGCCTTACCTGCAATCTGTGATACAATAGCAGTGTTATCGGCAAGGTGATTGGCAGCAGGTTCTTGGTACAGAGACTGAATTTATTCTTGAGACAACTCACCGCACGGAGCTAGCTAACAAAAACAACTTCATGCGACGACGCATGCACGGCGCACGGTACGGATGACCCTGTACTATCCCCAGGGCTGACTTAAGTTTGCATATAACGCGACACGGAGGTACACGGACTTATACGTGGAAAGGAGGTTGACATTATAGTGCTATGGCCAGCCGTATCCCAAAACAATGTCGTGGCTGGTCTTATCTCTTCTTATCTCATCCCATTCCTCTTGCTCAAGGTAGGGGAAGAGACCAAGGGATGGAATCTTGAACGGAAACGTTTGCTCTCCCCTACTTCCTCTAGAAGTTACAACTTTACATTAAATCTCAACTTCTTTGTCCTGCACTGCAGCTGCAGATACACGGCATGTTGGTGCAAATTTTTTTCCTCGCGTGGGGTTGTGGACATTAGTTTGAGCATTTATTTATGAAACTAAATACTTGAGTGTGTGCACACTTTGGATAGGAAAACACTGAGGCAACTCCAATAGCCTTTCCACTCTTTGTATAAATTTTGTATAAATTTAAAAACTTACAAAAAGAGGTATACAGTGCGGGTGTGTGTGTGTGTGTGCGGGGGGGCCTTGCTATATTTACATCTTCACTGGGGATTAATTATCTATAAAAACTTACGAGCATACTGTATTTATATTTTTCAAATCTATCATCCGTGGCCTGCTATAGGCTGCAGCCACCCTAACCACTTTCCCACTTTCATCTCTGTTTTCTTCAAAAACCTTTAAAAATTTAGTTTATCAAAGAATTGCATGTTTTTGTTGGGTTTGTGACGGGGGGGGTGGTCGAGTCTAGTAAAAAGTTCCAAAAGTGGCCCACAGCACAACTGAATGAGACACCTTGATATCAATCATCCTTCATCCTTCCATGCAGGATAGCCAATATTTTATTGCTTGCATGCCAACTAGAGGATTAAGACAGCAACAAAGATTCACAGAGCAAAAAGATCATCATTTCCCTTGGTCTTGAATTGTACATCTTACACAGCGGTACATTCACGCCTTAAGGGGTGTAACCTTTGTAAGAAACACAAATTGGATTGGACAATAATTGTGTCGAACCAAATTTCCATTTTGTCCTCCCCTGCTTGGACACAAACTTAGGATATGCCACTGATCTCACATCCACCACTGAATTCCATAAAGCATTTTCAATGATCATTTTTTTAAAGCCAGTTCTTAAGCATTTTCATGGTTTCTATGTGAATTTTCTAATTCTCTTTTTATATTTAAAAAAATTTATAGCATAATATTTTGCTTGATTAAACATATATAATCTTCAGAATAATTAACTGCAGTGACATAAAAACGATTACAGGGAAGACCCTGTACACATAATCAAACTGATGGTTTCATCATACGTTTAACTGTATTTAATCCCCATTACTTGGCAGCCCCAGCCAAGATGGATATAACCAACTCAGCCAGACTTTCTTGTGCATCGTGGTCGTGGTGATGTCATCAACATACTGGCTCACATCATTAGAGACAGTAACTGTATTTTTTAAATGCCCTACATAATACGTGGGTAAGATTCTACAGGCCAGAATTGGGGCTACAACCCTGTTCATTTAGCAAAAAAACGCCACAACCGTCTCCTTCAAATAGAAACAGGTTAGCAACAACCCCCCACAACCGTCTCCTTCAAATAGAAACAGGTTAGCAACAACCCCCCACAACCGTCTCCTTCAAATAGAAACAGGTTAGCAACAACCCCCCACAACCCTCTCCTCAAATAGACACAGTTTTTTTTTCAGCTGGTAACGTTCACTTTTTCAATTTCAATAAATTTCAGAAAAGCTTTGAAAATCCAACTCTCTTGAATATTCTGAAACTCGGGCCCCAAAACAGAATTACCTGAACAATTTGCCGAGTCATAGAAGCCACCTCTTCCACAAAAAAATATGTTTGTTGTAATCTTCATTACACATTCTGTAGAGAACTGAACAAATTTGGACATAATGTTGAACTGCTGAACTATAAGAACTTCAGACTTATCTTATCAATCATTAACGCATTTATAGAACACAGAACTATACTTAAAACAAAAGCCACTTCATGAACAAAGATATCAGTTCATTTTCAAAGAAATAAATTATTATTGCGGAAGACATTTATCGAGAATATAGTAGGCTTTTAATAAGTTTTCATGATTTTAATGCAATAACTGACTGGCTGCATGCCAACAATCACAACCTGCCAAGGGCCAATTTCATAGAGCTGCTTAAGCACAAAATTTGCTTATGCGCAAATAAGCCTTGCTTAATAAACAAAGGTTATCAGCTCAAACTCTATCTGATTGTCATGCTAATCAAAAGACAGCTAAATGTGATCCAAACACAATATACATCACATGGAATTTTGGCTGGTTACCTGATTTATTAAGCAAGGTTTTCTCACCCTTAAGCAAATTTTGTGCGTAAGCAGCTCTGTGAAATTGGCCTCTGGTTCACAACGTAAACCAAAGCTGATTTGTTGGGAAATGGCAAAAATCAATGTGAAAAGGGCTTTGCTTTTCATATTATGAATGACTCAATACTAACAGAAGCATTAAAACAGAACTGAAAGTAGGTCGGCAGACCTTAGGTTCATCAACTGGAGTCTTACATTACAACAAATGATGACTGGTAGAATGGATGATTGTTCTCAACTCGCTTTATCTAATCCCATTCATCATCATCATCATCAAAGTCATCATCGTCAGAATCGTCATCACTGCCTTCTGCATGGAATGAGGTGATTAAATGACAAAGGAAAAGAACTTAATTCAGTGAAGGTATTACTCCAGGACCTACAAGAACAGCGAGGGTGGAACTTGAGTTTTTTTGAACTGATAACACATGAGCCTCAGGTTGGCACAGTAGTATTTTTGCCAACTTTCCACCTCTGAAACGTGAATGACTCAAGGTTCATATGCCGTCGAGGTCAGCCCGTGGATTGGGTTTTCAGTCCCTATCTAACTCCTTGGATTTTCCCTGGGATATTTGACAATGGTTTTTCTTCCATCTCTTACAAGGAACATTTCTTGACTTTTTTATTTATTGTCACTTGTAATCATCCTGTACCTTGCCCTTGGGCTGCTGCATGCACAGGAACTAAATTAACATAGAATAAAGCTGAACCACTTCCTGCTGGGGAACCTGGTTTCGGGAACCGTGTGTTTATACACAGAGCCAGGGTGCCCGGTTTTGGACAAAAGAGCTAGTCTGTGTAACAAAAGACTGTACTCGGAACAAAGGGCCTGCTACTGGGAATTGCCGTCATTTTTCACCTTCCATTTTTTGGAAGGAAATCCGGCACTGTTTTGAAACACTATACCACTGTTTTGGGCATAGCGCGCCTGCGGATTACATGTAGCACCACGGACAAAAGTACTCAATGGCCCCATTGATGAGTGACATAACGCCACTGCTCGCTAATCCAGTCGCGTATGAAAAGACGCTACTGGCATTCACCAGAACAAAAGAAATTATGCAACACCACACAATCCTGGGCTCTCTTTTACTGGGCTGCAGGCTTGGGTTGAATACTTGGGCGTCAATGAAGGTTTCCTTTCAGAGAGTCGTTTGTGTGGGTGTAAACGTCCAGTAAATGAACACATGAATTTTTGAAGAATTTTCAAAATGGAAAATCTTGAAAAGGTTTCGCAATCACATCCCGCTGAAGAGAAATCCACCCGGCAGGTAGTGGTTAATGTACACATCTCATGCTTACCAGAGTGGATTGCATTACTTCTCATCTGTAAGGCGTTTAACAGTGCCGCCCCAAGACCATCTTGAGGTACTCCAGGAGAAACATCTGCCTCACGTTCAGACATGTCCACCTGTAAGGGAATATCACGGCGTTCACTTATGGTGTATCTTCTAACATCAACCGACGGGTATCTTTCTTGTTATTTTTTTTTTGTACTTTTCTCAAGTCCCTTTATATTTGCTCAGACATTTTTTGTATAAAATTTGTTTCACTAAAAATATATCTCAAAGCTCTTCTAGCTTCTTTGAGCTGTTATAAATGTTGAGATACCAATGTGATAAGCCCTGATTATCATAAAACCAGCAAAAGTTGAGATTTCTTGAAAACAGTATTCTCCTACCTGCTTGAGAGCTTTTCCTGCCCTGATCTGATCAAGTAGAGCACCACGCCCATCACTAGCAGGTGCTGGTCGGTCATCTGGATCCACACGCTTCAAGGCAACCCCCTTATGGATACCATCTAGAAGCCCCGCACGACCACCCCCACCCCCGCCCCCGCCTCCGATAGGGGGAGGGGGTGGGGCTGCTCCCACTGCTGGGGGTGGTGGGGGTGGTGGGGGAGGGGGTCCTCCCCCTCCGCCTCCCATGGATGGGGGCGGGGGTGGGGGAGCTGGAGTAGAAGCAGCGTAAATCATGCTTGGAGGAGGCATGGGCGGAGCCATAGATGGGGGAGTCGGGGGCAGAGCTCTAGATGGTGGAGGTGGAGGCGGTGCCCCACGGGATGAGGGAGGGGGAGGGGGTGCAGGCCCTCGACTAGGGGGTGGGGGAGGGGGTGGCCCACGATTACCAGGAGGAGGAGGGGGTGGAGCTGAGCCACGGGAAGGGGGTGGTGGAGGAGGGGCTGAACCACCTCGCTTTCGCCCTTGACAAATAACACGTGAAAACAAAAACAATTATTAGACCAGGCCAAGTTTTTTTATGCTGTCCCTGTGTTTAAAACATGGCCAAAAAAATTTAAAGACTGACAAAAAACAAAACATGACAAAAATTCAAATAAATCTTATTCTTTTCAAGCTTAACATCAGTAAACAAACTTTCAAATGAACAACTGAAAAAATGAAAAAGAAATACCATGACCAGTCACAAACGGGACCTGTGAAATAATTTCAAATACTTTTGGAACGGCAGTTGTCATTCTGTTTTCAATAATATATCTTGAACTTGTCCTGCATTACACTGATACTGTTGTTTAGAGATACTGAGAATAACTGTGTGCTTACCAGCCAAGTCATCCTTGATGGCGGCAAATCCTCCATGTTCTTCCACAAAATCTTTGATGAAAGCCGCAGTATTCTGGTCCTTGAGCTCAGCTTCAGAAACGCCAATGTTCTGGAACCAGGTTTTGACTTCCGGGTCCATTTCATCAATCTAGAATAAATAATTCAGGGGACAAATTGCAAGTCATTCTTGGACCATGTTAATTGAATCCACGAGGGTTTCTGTGAAAGGAAAGTCGATAAACATCTCATATGAAAATGATTGGCTACAAATATACTGTTTGCCATGCTCACACGGCAATACTGCCCGCCAATTTTTAATACATTCATCACATCTTTGTGATGTATCATCTTTATGTTTCTCATTTTTCTCTCTCAATCTGTCTCCTTGAAAAACAGACTTTCAGATGGCATACCTTTGCTTTGTAGTGCTTCACTCCAGAAATTGCACAAGAATGTGATACGAATGTGAACTAGTTACTCCACATGTGAAATACATATATGAAGTCACCAGTTTTAAATGGGAAAATGAAAGTTAGCCAAGCAAAAGTGTACTGATATCAACTAGTGATCAAATGAAACTTACATCAAAACCCTTTTGTGGGTCCCATCCAACATGGCTGACATGCCTAGAGACAAAAAGTGGAAACCTTAAAAATAGTACAGTGATTACATTAAATGTATAATTTCAGTTAATTAACAGTTAAAAGCTATGGCCCATTAATTTGACATTTACTGGACAATTCAGTAAAAAAATGCCAATGCTAGAGATTTAATTGGTTTCCAAATTCACAAACTGAGAAAGTCACAAGTCAACAATACCACTTACTTGAAATCACTTGGCGTTCCAATGTCAGCCTTGGTAAGTCTCCCCTTCTTGCCTTTGTCTTTCTTCTTGTCTTTCTTCTTAGTTGTGGAAGTATCAATGGTCGGTGATGGGGGCTGGGTGTTATGGGATGCTACATGAAAAGTGAAACCAAATATCAAAGAATGTATACAGTGAACAACGTTACTGAAAAAATAAAATGGAGCTGGTTAAGGGGTGTCCATCCTCGTTCTGATGCTTTAAACACGAGGAACATATGGGAATTTTACCAAAACAATCTGCTTGAAAATTAATGGCTAAGCTTGCTTTCTTGTTTGCCATTTTAAAGTAAATTCCCGCAGGGAAGAGGAGAAATTTGTCAATAAGAAAGTCTACTGCCAATGAAAATGCAGACTAACAACAGACATCCAGAGTGGGAAACTTTGCTATGGCTAAGCAGGTATGACAAAATGAAAGTAAATTGCTCAAGGGATTTGAATCAAGAGACAGCAGTAAAAGACCTACTATGGAAGTATTCTACAGGCCATATCTGCAAAGGTGTAAAAGCAGCTGAGTCCATCTTGCTCAAGCACTGATAAACCATTTTCCCAATGGATTGACTTTGCATTTTGACAACCAAAACAGTGCAGAAGGTTCCTCTAAGGCAGATTTGTAATCTGATCTGTATTTAGGCTGGCAGCAAAACAAAAGCTCTTCAAAATAATATTCGTAACATTCTGCCACGTTTGCAGAGTAAGTTTTAAACTATAGCATTCCAGCCCTCTGTTACCATCTCTCTATAGGGTAGAAGTGGAATAGAGGAACATCTGCAATTAATGCTGGCTTTGAAAATGTTACGATTGCACATTACAGCTGATTTGAACAAATGGCACAATTTCCTATAATGCTTTGAATTCCTTAAGAAAAAATTCAGTGTAACAACTGTATTGCTCTTGACAAAAAAAAGACAAACAGATTGGGGAAAATCAAAGGTTCTAAAACAATATTACAAAACATTTAAGACATATGCAGAGAACATGTAAAAGCATGCTGGCTGTTGCTATATCTGCAAGAGAATCACCTGAGGTTAGTAAACTAGATTTTAAAATACACTTCATATTGCTGTCATGGTTAAGTACATCAATGACGTTGGAATGGACACTGTCGGACTTCATAGACGCTTCAAAACAAGATTACACAATGCAGTGATTTTTCAACAGCTAACAACCAAAGTAATAATACACAAAGTGGGAATTTATTAGTTTGACTACATGTAGCATCCTGTTATTTACAAGGTTAACTAACTGCTGAAGCATGGCCATGAGCCTAAACCACACTACCCTTCTACAAATGCTAAGTGGGGCTCTTAGGATGGACCAGTGGCATGTGTGACCTTTCAGTGCAGTATTGTAAGTTAGACACTTCTTGGCACCAAAGACAACTTAACAGCATGCTTTGCTACAAGTGGGTGACGTATGCACAACCCACAAGATTCTCTTCAATTACTACTGAACACATATGGCTGGAGAATTCAAAATCATGAAAGGTGAGATTGGGCCTGTGAAGTAGGTTCAATACAATACACATCATCGGGGAAAAGGCATTTATCTTCTGATGGTAAACGTTCATTTTCTATCCTAACATAAAAGTGGGAAATACAAATACAGACACAGCGTACTACATATGACTCTGATTAGACATTTACAAAGGTATTTCATTTCATCAGTGAAAAAATATGTTAATCTTTGCTCAGTTTTGAAATAACCATTGAACTCTGAGACAAATTTTGACAAATAATTTCACCACCTCTTGAAAGTAGAAAACAAGGACATCTCAATATCCAATAGGCAGGCCTTGCTCAGATACACAGCAATCAATCATTAGCATCCTTCACCGTCTCACAAAGGTTGTTCAACTCCTCATGAAAAATCCCAACAAAAATGCATATTAGTTGAACAAGAGTTATGCATTTCGATCACCATGCTCACTAACGCACGCAGGAAAACCTACAAGCATCTTGGAGTTAAAAAATTGAAATCTCAAGACAAGACACATGCGGAAGCCCTGATGCTTAGAGGGGTGTATCATAGAAAAAGAGAGGCAAAGCTTATGCAAACAGACTACCAGCAGAGAGTTGTGGATTTCCCATGGGAGAAGGCTGGGGGAGGGGCTGGGAAAGGGTCAGGGGGGAGGGTATCGTTAAGAAAATGACCTACTACCGGTACCATGACTGGGGGAATGAGAGTCACTGGATGAGAAACGCCGGCTACGCCGTTGATTGCCTGGCGATCCACTCTGATATTGTAATCTGGTATCAGAATGGGATGGTGAGAGAACTGATGATTTCCGTCTTCGTGCTGGTGGTGACAGTTGGTGAGGAAAAATAAAATGTCAATTGGTGCTCTTATTACAGCAGGAAGAAATATATGCATAGCACATTTGGAGAAGTCAGTATGTGAATAAATACAAAATTTCAACTTATCTGGCATTAACTTGCTGATTGTAACAATTTGCTTCAAAAATTGGAAACTTTTGCAATGGTTGTTGGATTATAGTAACTCAACATCTAGTTCTTATTCAAATAAAAGCACAATGACATGATAGCAAAAAGTTGCAACACTGAAACCACCAACAAGAAGGCGGTTTGGCTAAATAAATCCAGCCTAACAAATGCCAAAATCTTTAGCAAGATCCATGAAAATTTGAAAGTCTATCACATATGTCCATACCACTTGGAACAGTTTGCCAACTCCGATATTACGGTACATGTAGGTATTACTTTGCAGAAGCATGAAATCTTCAAAATGTAACATCAATAGTTCAGCAAATTTTGGACAGTGCTGTATCTAGAACAAATAGGCCCTGGGTCTACGACCTCAGCTTTCTGTGACTGTCATACTAGGTACTCTAGATGATATGCACACTAGAATTCTACTGAGCATTAGCAGTAAACTAACAAAAGTAAGAGGCTTGGGTGAGAGACAGTTAGTGCAGAAATTGACACAGATCTGTGGAGATTGCCACGAGAGCTGCAAAGGTTAAGTGTAGTGCATCAGAAGATATGTAACCTTTCGCATTCTGTGTAAATGAGTCTGAATAAGGGAATAAATTGTGCTTGGCTGGTCTTAAATGTGCATTGAAGACCGGCTCAGGAGAATGGATGTGACTACTGCCCGAGCTGCAGGCGAGAGCATTATCAGCAATAACTCTCCCAAGACCGACCAAACACATATTTACTTCCATTCTAAAATTATGGTGCACTATTTACGACAAACATTTCTCTCTCTCTCTTGCCTCCTTCCAGGCGATGCAACCAGATGACGCGACGGCATGACGACTCCCTTGCGTCGTGCCGTTGTGTTGAACCGTCGCCTTCTTGCCATTTCGTTTGTACACACACGACGTGTTGCATCGTGCGTCGCCCGTTGCGTCGTGCTGTCCCTCCAAAAAAAATCAACGCCTGCAGCTCAGGGCATGTATTTTGCAAACGCGATGGATGGAAATGAGAGAAAACAAAAGAAATGTGTCTTGGCTGGGAAATTAAGGAGTGACAAATTCTGAGCTTGCGGTTTCCACTTATTTTGAGAGAGCAATTCCTACATATTCGGATTTTCTTTTGCTCTTTATTTTTTCAATAAAATATGACAGAAATTAATCAAATTAATGAATCAATTATATAAAACAATGAAAAATCAACACCAAAGAGCAAACTGCACGTACTTTGCAAGAAAGGTGGACGGAAATGAAAGAAAACAGTAAAGGCGCCCTCTATAAACACCACGAAATAAAGGGCGACAGCACACGACGTGTCGCGTCGTGCATCAGGCAAAACGATGCACGACACGACATATGACGCGATGCTTGACAGTATGACCCGACAGGCGACGGAAGGGGCGATGTTTAGGCAGAAAAAAATGCAACAAGGAAAGGACCTAAGACAGCACAATGCGACGGGCGATGGCACGATGCGACGTGTGTGTACAAACAAAATGGCAAGAATGCGACGGTTCAACCCGACAGCATGACACAAGGGAGTCGTCATGCCGTCGCATCGTCTGGTTGCGTCGCCTGGAGGGAGGCAAGAGAGAGAAAGAAATGTTCGTTGTAAATAGTACACCATCATAAATACCTGTTTTAGTCAAAGAGTCAAAAGAAGTCTATACAATGAGGGATTTCCAACAATTTTGATTTAGAATTTTACTATTAATTTTTAATTTTTATTCTAATTTTACCTGAACACCCCCCAATCCATTTTATTTCACAGTTGTTTCAAGGAATTTCCTTACATAGAGGAAGGACACAGAAGGAGTTTGAACTACCCGGGCTATAACATCCGGCCATTTATCGCTTTCTGGCATGCCAGGTATGTCCCTAGCCAGAGTGCTTTAAGCACTTGCTATGCACAATCTGTTTCACAACCACAAAAACCCTTTGTCTATTTGTACCCTATGATCGCCGCCGCAAGTTTTCACTGGTACTCTGTATCCTTAAAACTTTGTGCACTGAAGTATAGGATATGAACATGAATATTCATGCATTTGCTGGTGCTTGGTTTGATCTCATGACAACATCAAATTAATGCTTGTGCAGTTGCTTGTATTACGTCGTGCCCTAAATCCATATGTGTAGTCATTGCCCTTAATGAATGCTTTCTTTTGGAGTTATTTTGGGAATAAATAGCCCCGTTGTTTACAAGATTTTGTTTAAAAAAATCATTTTTATTACGGCATTTGTACAAAGGTGTATTTTACGAGATTTCATGATCACTCCCTGTGATGAAATAGTCCATTTTGTTCCTGATGAACTTAGCTTTCCAGTAGAAGTCAACATTTTGTTGACCAGTCATAGCCGAATTTGTACCAAGTCATTGAAAACTGATGTATTGGAGGGAGGAGAATAAAATTACAAACTCTGCATGGATAATGGAAGTGTATCAACATTATTCACGATGGCCAAAAGGTGGTCTAATATCAGGGATTTTTCTCTCTCTATTTCCTGGTCACAGCAATAATTTGTATTTAATTGCAAGCAAAACACTACTAGTATTGCTAGGATATTACTGGCCTCGCTTGTCCAGCTAAGATGCAGGCAGTACTCGGGCATTTTTGGAAGAGAACCCCTCCCTCCGATAATGCAACTGGAGGGGCTGATTTGCACTCCAGTGATGGATTGACGCGAACCTTGTAGAACCTCCCCCATGCGAAGACCTGGGGCACGTTCAATAGCCATACATGTACATACATGTACCTTGTATAACGTTGTTAGTCATATGCATATGTATGCCAAATATTGTGCAGTTGAACACACCCCTGACGGAGCTTCCTCGTAGCTAAGTTTGACCAGTTTGACACTGTGGGTGTACTTACATGTGTTCTGCGCTGGGACCGGAGGAGCAACGTTGGGGCGTTTCTGTGGAGGTGCATCAGGGGCACGGCGCTTTTTGTCTAAATTGGGAATGAAATCATGCATCAATCACAACTTTTACATTAGTGTTATGAAAATTTGTGGTTCAAATGGCATGGTCATATCTCTGTCTTGGATACTGTCTGTTTATTGGCCCAAAACGATCACGACAGGACGACATATCTGCATATCACACTCACTGCGAGATATCTCATTCTGCCGATAATGCGTGCGTGTGCATGCACGTGAGACGGAAGAACTTTGGGAAGTCTGAGAGTGAATATTTCCCCTCCGTCAGTTTTGTTTGGTACCCATGATAAGTTTTGTGCATAGGCTACCAGGGAATTTGATCATTGATCATGCTCATATAACAGACTTGTTCCCGTCCCCGCAGCGTAAAAGGTAATGAAGGGAACGCTAATCAGACTACATGACATGTGAACTTGTACTCGATGGTACCCCCCCTACTTTCACATTAAAGTTTACACAATGAAAAAAAGTAAGGGAATACAGCTTTTGCAGAAAATATCGTTTATGTTTGTTAGGGTTAATTATACTTTTTGACGGAAGGCCTGTCATCTTCCGAAATTTGGAGCTTGTTTCTTTGGATAAATTCTTTAATCAAGACAGGGGTATGACAAATCATTTTGCCTCAGGGCCCTATTCATCCCTCGGGTGTTCAAAACGTCATATCTCACACAACAGCGGTCAACAATTGTTTAAATTGAAACTAAATGTTGTCTTGCCATGTGGTAGACATACATGATCCCCTTTTTCCATGTTTTTTTGGCACTTGGATGGAAGTTAATTTTATGGCACTGTCTGACACACAAGCGGTGTGAAGACCCTTGACTTTAATACCTTCCAGTGTGAGGACCCCCAACTTAGCTTCCAGTGTGAGGACCCCCAACTTACCTTCTCTACGCCGCTGCTTGTCCTTAATCTTATCGGTGATGCACTTGGAGAATTCATTAGCTTCAGCATCACTGGCAAAGTTCAGGCCAGCCCAGCAAGTCTAAACGTAGGCAGTCAAGAAACGAAAAGTCATGCAAATTATCTTCCATATTAGAGTCCACACCTACATTGACAGATTTTATCGGGGGATTTTGACAGTTTAAATCATTTTATGGTTGTAACAAGTAACTCTGTAAGACCTGTGTATCGTACATGTAGTTTGGTACAATGAACTGTTTTGAGGAAGTGATTTATGAGTCCTCATGACGTCCTAGAGTAATATGAACTATGAAAAAAATCCCAAACAGCTGGATAGATTTACAAGAATTTCAAGTTAAACTACTGTGAAAGGTCTAATTTTCTAAACACTCCACAGTTCTACAGATCCTCCATAGACTTAGAATACTCACATCTGTTGCAAACGTGTGGAAAAACTGCTTGCCCTCAACAACAAAGTACTTGAACTGATTGTAAAGTTCTTGTTCCCAAACTTTCATTCCTCTCTGCAAAAATAAAAACATTGGAAAGGGTTGCAAAAGACAATTATTCCTAACACAGCCAACAGCGTGATTTCACTTTTTTTTTATAAGCTTGTTTCATTTTCCTTGGTAAAAACAATGGACAACATTTTCCACATGCTATCAATAAATACAGAATAAGAGCATTAACTCTAACAGCGCAAAGATGGAAACGTTTATGATTTCAAAACCCCTCCAAAAATTTGTCTCAAGATACCTCTTGTGAAAAAAGTGGGTGAAAAATCATCACTGAACCTGGCTGGAGCTTACCACAATATCAAAAACTCTGATGTAGTAAGATCGATTGTTGGTGTCTTTAACGAAGCAAGCTACACCACAGCATTTCTTAGTCCAGGAGTTAGGAGGCTGGGCCAAAAACACCTGCACTACAGCCGTTGTCAAAGTCTGTCATCAGAAAAAGGAAGAAAGAAATACAGCACATTAATCACAATGGTTCCAGAGCCACTTTTCTTTGGTGAATTTGGCCTGAAAGGGTGATATATTTTCTATGGTGACAAAGTGGTTTTGGGATTTGTACACAAAGTGAAGGGAAAGAGGACGAAAAAATTCTAAATCCAAAATGAGTGCCTGGTTGGTGGCTATGTGGATACGATGTCAAAAGAGTTCTTCATGAGAACGAAGCAGTACAAAATGAATTAAAGCATGTCGAAATTGATTGGTAAGCAGCAGTACATGTATCATCGAGGACACCGTGTAGAGGGCAGTGGGTTTGCGGAGGGTTTGAGGAAGATTCTAGGAAATGCTTCATTGAATGTGTCAAGAAACGTGATATAGACACTCTGGGCTGCATGTGTGTTCCTTCATTAGCCTTTGGTCGTGTAGAATACAAAAATGACGCTGATTGGCTATTAAGGATGAATAACGTTAAGTCAATCACATGCACATTTCAAAAGCTGCATGCACACACGGATAAATCTGTGTCACGCATAAACACACGCAATTAAAGTCCTAATATCCCAAATAGTGGGATATTTAAATGTCCTCATGCTAAAAAGATGAAGTGTAGTTGGCAGAAATGACTCATGATTACAGTCTTGCATTCTTTTCCAATTCATTTTCAGTGATTTGGCAGCAGTCTTTTGGGATCAGCAATTCAAAAACTTTTGAGTTAAGCGGACATAATGGTGTGGGAATTTTGAGTTAGCGGGGTACTTTTCTACATACCCTATTCTGTGGGCTGGAATGAAGACTGTCATTGAGAAACATGTAAGTGGAGTTTTGAGTCAACTTTGAGTTACTGAGATGAGTTGACAGAATTGCACTGAACTTGTGCACAGTACACGCATGTACACAGGATAATTCCAGAAAATAGGGGTTCAATTTTTTTCATGTCCCTATTACATCTGACATATATGTATGTATGATTTTGTAATTTTCTAATTTCTAAGAGTGATGAATTAATGCAAACTGCCTGCCAAACAAATAATAATAAGCAAATTTCCTGTTCCATTGCCACACTGATTTTAGTGAACAAAGCTAGCATGGCTAGAGGGGAACAAATTGTCTACAACAATTACAATCGCAAGCATTCATTCGCCGAACATTACACAATGTTCACTTTTGTGGGGGACAGGTACATTGGGTTCTTGGGGGGGGACTTGAATCAGTGAAATGACTCCCACGCTAGCAAATGTGACGTAGGCCCTACTGACCGTGATTTATTCTGAAAAAGGGTGGCAGGGAAGGAGTTCCATACAATACAGACGCCACTTAGACTGGTCTAAAAAACTAGTAAGCCTACATGACTTTCGCCGTGGCTGTTGTTACGGCAGCCATAAAGCATCTCCCATTTTCTATCGTTACGGCACTGCAACTGCGCAAGCCCGCCAACTTTGCGCAGATTTCGGACTTTATTTCCCTTTAAAAAAAATTCTCCAAAGCCTCCGATAAGAAAAGAAAAAAATTTCCTGCTTAGGCCTATACAATTAGAAACCAACATAAAAAACAATTATGGTATAAAACATGAAATAAAATGGTCCAAGCACGGATTCGAACTCACACACCAGTGGTTCCAAACCTTCCACCTTGACCACTCGGCCACAAGCATTCAGCGACCCAGGTAATTTTAAAATATATAAACCATCGTGATGATCAGCTACGTCTTCGCACTTGCGCAGTTCAGTGCCGCAACGATAGAAAATGGGAGATGCATTACGGCTGCCGTACTGATAGCCACTTGGGGTTTTTTCCCTCCTAAAAAACCTACTGTCCTAAAATGAACTTCTCTGGACATGTTTTTGCTTTCTGCAGGCTTACTGGCGCCCGTCTGTGGAACTCTTCCCCAACAGCCCAATCATGTAAGTGTAATGTTTCTTCTGTTTTCGTGCTTTTTTTGTACAGGAAACAGGCGGAGTGCGAGACTGATACTTACATGACTTCGTGATACATGTATTGTTATTGTTACGCCCCAATTATAGCATCAGTCCCAACTATAGTTGGGCCCATCCCAACTATAGTTGGGCAAGTTCCAACTAGAGTGCTACATTTTCAAGATGTATTTTTTTTTTTAGAGTGCTACAGTTGGACCGGCCCAACTATAGCAGAGAGGTCCTGTGTGCATGATGTGCCCGGCATGTGCCAAAGTCATATTGTTTACAATTTTGCCATGTCATTGGTCACAGGTGTAAGTGCCACATTTTTGATGAATTGTGTCAAGTGTGACTGTGAGACACATTGACTTGGATAATGTTGAGACATTTCCCACAGACATTGGTCAACAATAGTTGGGCCAGCTCAACTGCAGCACTACAGTTGGGGCTTATGCTATCTATAGTTGGGGCGTAACATTATTGATAACGTTGAACTAGTAATATGGTATGTATGGGGTTAGCGTGAGCCTAGTCATGCTGGTGTGAAACTTCCTTAATTTTGTGTAAACTAGGCCTATTAATTTGCTGATTTCTCACAACATTCAAACAACGACTTACCGAACATCTTCTACCGAGAAGGTTAAATACTTGATCATTTTCAGACTGGGAGAGAAGCTTTGAAGGAGCATTTGCAACCGGCGTTGCTCTGCGATTTGGAGGATTCGCCATTTCTGAAGAACACTTCCGCGATTATCCCGCAGGCGCGGCAGGTGGAGTTGTTTAGCATAGGTCAAAGAGCAAACAGTTAATGCAGACGTCATTGGCCAATGAAAATGAAATAAATGAATGATTCATTTGGGACCAGACTAGTGAAGATATTTCAAACTTACAGGCACAATCGTTTTGGACTCAGGGAAACAGATGCACGATTTAAGATGTGTCTTGCGTCGGTGTGTTGATTATTTCGTCTGGGTTCCTTGGAATCATGGTTGAGGTAAAGTAATGATAGGCTACATCCAGAAATAATTCAGTCATGATGAATTGAAGTAACTGTATGATACCCCGTATTGCCGTTGTAGTGTGAAACTACGGTAGAACTACTGTACATGTAGGCCTACTCACGAGCATGATTAGCCGAGCGGACGATAGCCCCACTACTACGGACTCTCACTCCCGAGTGAGAGTGCGTGCCACACTAGTGGGGCTAAGCGGACGACAGCCATGACAGCGAACCCGCTGGTGGGCCGGGGGGGGGACACCCCCAGAACTGTGGGGTCTGACGTCCGCCCCCCTATACATGTACTCCCATGAACGTTCGTGGGAGCGGAGTCGGACCCCACAGTTCTGGGGGTACGGGGGATGAATTATCATGATGATTGAATGAATGGAACTTAAAAAAGAGTTCCATATAGTACAGACGCCGCTTGACACCCTGTACGCACACCCTATGACAAATGAAGGAGACTTCTTTATACAGTACGTAGCAACAGATTCACTGAATCCACGTATAGCCACGGGAGAAGACGTGACACAAAGTTACTTTAAGTTCCTGTCCCTGGATCAGATAAACACAAGAACCTGATCCCCAAAAGAGCTGATTGACATTGTTGAGACTATTGTATCAGGAAGCCTGTTCCAATCTCTACAAGTTCTGGGTACAAAGGAATTCCTATGCGCTTCAGTTTTGCTGTGCGGCAAATCAAGTTGAATACTGTTTCCAGTGGCTGTTTTACCTGGTCTTTTCAGAACCATACAGACTCACAAAAGAGATTGTATCCTTGCATGGTGCTACTGCAAGCTTTCCACCTTAAATTACATTTGCCGTGTAGAGGCCCATTCATGGAGTTTATCAATTTCTTCCTGAAGTGTGATGCAGTCAGCCCGGTTGTGGATATTTCTATAGAAAATGCAATCGTCAGCAAAAAGACAAATTTCTGACTGAAGATTGTCTGTGATGTTGTTGATGTAAAGCAAAAGTAAAAGAGGGCCGAGGACTGTGCCTTGAGGCACACCAGAGTCCACAGAATCCATATCAGAACTAGATCCATTGAACACCACTCTTTGTTTACGCATCTGAAGAAAGTTGGCTATCCACTTCAGTAACTTTCCACGTATTCCATACATATGAAGCTTAGCTTTCAGATGCTCACGGGGGACAGTATCAAACGTTTTGGAGAAGTCAAATATTGGTCAGACCGGTCTGAAAAATTCCAATTGTTTTTATTAGTAAATGACTTGGTGTTTTTTCCCCCCTAAATTGAGCTTTTCAGTTTTCTGGACATGTTTTTGCTTTCTGATGGTTAATAAAAGTAACTGATAGGTCACTGTAGCCTTGTTGTAGGGAATAATTACTGGCATCCACATGATGGATCTCTTCCCAAAGGGAACACATTGTAGTCGCTTGATCGTTATGTGAAAATGCTAAATAGGTATAAAGCAAGTTGTAGAGTCCTAGTGACTTTGCCTAGCATGACTAGATACTGCATCAATTGAAAAGTAACTGCTTTCAAGGGTTTTGCCCTTCAGCAAAAATGATGTCATCAGTTTGTCGTGTATACATGCATATCACTTTACATTCTTGTCAGGTATACCAATCCAGACTTTCAAGGGATGTTGGAGGAATGAGACAGTGCTACATGTATTATGAGGTGGAGGTGGAAACTTGTAAAAAATAGAGACGTTTGGAGAAGGAAGTTACTTCTTCTTTTCTGTTTTTTTTTCACAGATTTTTTTAGCAAATAAATGTATCAAAACTACTGTATGTTTTATGTTTCTGCTTTTGATCTCATTGGCTTGTAATTATTAGCCAATACAATGGGCCACAGTTGTGGTGATTCATCCAGGATCCTACTGGTTACGGATTGGCCGTGCAACAGACGCTCTACCTGTTACTATCCCACAAGTCATTGCAAGAAGACAGAAGGATCGGTCCATCCTACCGAAATATGAAGACTCAGTTCTCATCAGGGATGGTATATTTGTAAGTTCAAATTATTCAGTTTGTATTTATGTTGAGAACATAACTACAGTTCTGTTTATTTTATTCATCCATTAAACATCAAAGTTACAAAAGCACGGAAGTCATTGTCTAACTGGTGCTTTCTCATGAAAATCCTACCAAGTTAAGACTTATCCCTAAAACAGTCTTCTGACAGAGTTGAGTCTACCTTCCTCATGAACTAGGCCATATTTGTTATACAGTTGTATAGTTTTCCTATATTACTGTCTGTTTCATAAAACTCTACTAAAACTATTCTACAAATGCTGTAAAAAAGTGTAGAAATTGGTAGTAAACAGGTGCTGTGAATTGTAGATGTTAAACTGTCAAATGTCTTACTCTGTTGAGTGGGACACTGGAACAAGTGACAATAGGGTATCATGACTTGCCAATATGCGCTCACAGCTTCAGTCAAGAACTTGCGCCAACAATGAGCATGTTGCCACCGCAGTCTCCTCATGTTAGAGTATATAAATTAATATACATGTATTCACATTATGGCCCTATTCACAAAGCTACTGAGCGAAAGTGCTTACTAAGGAAATTTATGAATTAAGCCAAAAAGCCAGATGAGTGGTACCAGTTGTGAGCAATGCATGAAGTTTTTGGCTTGTTGCTTGTTTCTGCTAACCTATTGTCTTAAAAGCTTAGCAAGTTTCTGTGTTCATACACATACATGTAATTAGCTTAATGAAGCATGTCTTAGCTTGTAACTGACTGTCATATACATGTATGTGCACCCTCCCGTAGAGTTGGATATCATGGCGCGCCCCGTTGATCACCTTATCCAATTTTTTTAGTACACTGTATTGCACCCTGAACTTATGTTCAAATGGTTCTGATTCTACACTGTCTAACGCAGGGCTTAACAGGTCTGTGTACTAACAACATCACTCACATGGTCCACTGAGCACTATAGGAAAGCACAGGGTGTGGTGTCATCATTGCAGAGGTTTATTGGAAAATGACACCGCATTAAGAACTACATGTGTAGATTGATATTGATTGATTGATTGATCCTTGCAGCATCCTAATAGTGAGACTCAGCAAGAACATACTCTCAAGATGGTGGAGCAAGCCATCTGGTCTCGTAAGACGTCTCAGGGTCAGCGTAGACAAAGTGTTCCTGCTGCAGAGGTATGGCGGTGATTAAGGTGGTAGGGCCAGCCTGGTTGATGATTTGGACGCAGTTTTGTGGCTCTCTCCCTCGTTGATGACAGAATTAAGAAGCTGCATAAGAAGTGGCTTACATGTACGTCTATTCCATGCATCACAAGGAGGTTTCATTTGTGCATTTATGCAGATGCTATTGTTAGCAACAGCAGCAGAGCAATTTTTAAAGCAGGGTCAGTTATGAGACAGACCCTTAGGCATCAGCCATTTCTAGACTGATATGTTAATCCCCACCCCACTAAAGGACTTGCTGGGGTGGAGCATACCACTTTGACTTGAACTGGGGACATCTGAATAAAGTGAAGTTATCTGTCTTTAGTATGGAAGTTTTTTTGGAGTATATTATTCATTGTCAGGTGACTGGTTTCAACCGTGCAGTCAAATCACAGCCAATAGATGACAATTCAGGTATGCAGTGGAGTGACACATCTAGCAAACCAGAGTTCATCATTGGTGAAGAGGTTAGTACAGAAGACATTGACGAGAAAAATGGTAGCTGATCCCAAGTGACTTAGATCTTGTTATGTTCTATAGAATAAATATATTTTTTTTGCATAGTGTTTTGGTATGTCTGTTAAAATTTTAACCATGCTAAATCTAACAAGATCCAAAAGTAAGCATTTCTAATTACTTTTTTTCTGTAGATCTGAAAAGCTTGAGTCATTAGCATTTCAATTCTGGTGGAATTTGTCCTTGAAGGATGTTGTTCATTTGAGGAATGGAAGACATCTTTTATCCTGTGAAATGGTTCCTGTTTCATAGATGACACACTTCAGCAGTTATTAGATACGGGAGCTGGGGTGGGTGGGAGTGTCACCCTCCCCTCAACACTCCCACCCTCCTTGTTTCAGCTTTGTCAACAAAACTTTTCTTCCCGTTGGCAGAATCCTGTGTCAAGTCAGCATGATGCAGTGAACAGCACTATACTGTACATGCATAGAGTCAGAATGTTGACGTTGCATAGTGCCCCCAGCATCAGATGATTTCTAGACCCCTCCTTCCAACTCCTCAAGAAACACTGGCCTCATGAGTTGACCTCTTTATTACAGTCATAACCAATAATTTATACCTTTATGAGATCGTTCACTGGACAAGTTGATGCCAGGCACCATTTAAAGTTTTTGTCAATTGATGACATGGTCGATTTCACATTTTTGTGAATTTTTTTAATTTTAGGCTTTATATCTGGAACCTAACGATGGTTTCAACATTCATTGGCCAATCAGACGAGGCGGGCTCAACCTTCACTGTGGTGTTGGAGGGTCACTGACAAGCGTGCTGCAAGACTTGGAGACCGTCTGGGGCATGACCTTACAACAGAAACTGAACATACCCCTCAAAGACCTGAAAGTAAGTACATGACAGTGACTTTTATAGGTGAATCCAATGATGAGATTTAGAAGCAATTACTGTGATGGCACCATGCTTATAAGCAGGTGGTACAAGCAGGTGGTACAATCATGCTAAGTTCCTGTTCCACCAATAGGATGTTGTAGCTCACCAAGAACCAGAGTTTAAAAATTCATGCAGTAGTGCCTTGCCATCCCAGTAATTGCATTTCTTCAAATAAGTCGCTGCAGAAAAGTCACCATCAGGGAACTTACTCATTGGTTGGCAAACTTTGAAACTTGGCTTAGGAATCAGGCAGAGAAATTTTGTAAGGAAAGACAAGCAATTCCATTGTAATAAAAGCAAAAGGTGTGGGCAAGATACCTTTCTGTGTAATGAAATCTTTTGAATATCTCGTAATTGTACTCTTGTCTTTCAAAGAAATTGAAGATGTTTCTTTTGCATGCTAGATTTTGTTTAGTAACTTAGATTTTGTTTAGTAACTTAGATTTTGTTTAGTAACTTGTAAATCAGGGATGCATATTGATTACAGGACTGCTTACAATTCAAGTTTTATGCGGAGTGTTTGTTTTTCTTGCATCATTTTCTGGTTGCAGCATTATCGAGCTGTCCTGATCATACCAGATATCTATCATCGTCCTCATGTCAAAGAACTCATGAACCTTTTATTGCTTAGGATGGGCTTTGGGGCTGCTATTGTCCATCAGGTAGGCTGCTGATTCCACAACCGATTTCAGTAACAATCAAACAACATGAAAACTTTTCATTGCTTTTTTTGAAAGAGGTTCGTACTTATAGGACTTTAAGTTCAAACAAAAAATGAGTGGATTTCTTGCAGTGAAAGTATGATTTTACGCTGACCAGCTTAAAACACAAAATAAAACAGGATGATGTACACAAGGAATGGGGTTTGAGTAATTAAATTTTTGAATAACGAGATTGAGACTCTGCATGATTTGGGGGTAAACGCAAACACACTTGTTTGTTCTTGTAAAGATTTGTTGAAGTCTTGTGACCCCAACACTGTCTTTGCTTCTTAGGAGTCAGTGTTAGCTACCTACGGAAGCGGTCTTAGCAGTGCTTGTGTTGTGGATGTTGGCGACCAAAAGACCAGTGTCTGTTGTGTTGAAGATGGCTTGTCCCATAGAAACACAAGGTATCATGGAGCATTCAGATATACATATTGGACAAGTAATGGCCGCCAGTAACACACGATAAGGATTAATATATTATTATTAATACATTGCACTTTTCACCCAGGTTGTGTATGACATATGGTGGGAGTGATGTCACCCGTTGTTTCACATGGCTGTTAGAGAGAGCTTTCTTCCCTTACCAAGAGTGCCAACCAGCCAAGACAATGGATGCTCTTCTCCTTCTGGAACTCAAAGAAACATTCTGCCATCTGGATCAAGTGGGTTTGACTCTTCAGTCTTGGGGGGGGGTCCTTCCCAAAGGCATTTGTCTTGAGAATATTGAGTTTTTTGCCCTTGTGTTGTCAATGTTATATTACTAAAACTATTTATGTACCTTAATAAATGAAAATGGCTCACTTCTAGATTACCAGATGCAGGATGATTCAAACTGGTTTATCTCAAAAGCCAGTCACAGATCTTATAAGACAGAAACTCGCTTGTGATTGGACAAAATTGGCCATATCAAATGTTTGGCCACCATGGGCATTGGGAGCAAAAATCTTTTTTCTCTGGATCAATTTCATGTTTTTTGGGTTGTTTTTTGGTTGGTTTGTTCGTTTGTTTTCAAGCAAATTGATGATTTTAATCCAAATTAAATTTTTTTTGGGTTACTTTTCCTTGTTCTTGTTCCTGTTTTTCTGCAGAGGGAGGGAGACAAGCCCCCCCCTGTGCACCCCTCCCTAGCAACACCCATGATGGCAACATTATTTCTACCAAGAAATCTATTTTACTGCATGTTTTTCAAAGCTGCCTGACACTATCAATGCTACGTAGCTTTCATGTATGATCTTCCCACCAGGACTTGGATGGAGTGCAGTTACTAGACTTCCACGTCCGTTATCCCAACCAGCCCACCCTTATGTATCAGCTCAAGCTGGGCGACGAGACCCTTCAGGCACCCATGGGGCTCTTCTATCCGTTAATATTTGGCATCATCGGAGAGAAGATGACCTACACGCAGCAAAGGAATCAAGGTGACTCGGAAGATGTTCATGATGAACTGTACTTACTTCAGACACAGAAAGAGCAGCAACAGGTAAAGATGTCTGCTTAATTGCTCTATTCCTGACTGATTGAGGGCGCTGTTCATTGAAATATGTATGCAGCAATCTGAGTAAGTGAACACTGCACACTCAGAACTCATGAGTCACAGTCACTGCATTTCACCAAGATTATCAAAAGTGAGTCATTTCTTTTTGTAACATGATATCAAGTGTACCATGTGTACAAGGAATTCTGTGTACACAGAAGTAAATCATGGTTTATTGCCTCGTTTAATAATTGTACGAGCTTTATGTAGGATCTTTTGTGTGGTTGGTGAGTAGTTTCTCAGTTGATGAGGTACTCCAAGTCTGAAGATGACCTCAATCTCACAGCAGAAAAAGGGATTGAATATGGCCTGCGTGTCATCATTGGCTACCTCTGATGCAGTTATCATTAACCACAAACTGCTTGTATGGGAGATTAGTCAGGCAATGGAAAGTAGAATTCACAATCTACACATCAACCAATGTAAGTTTGGAGGCTGACGTTAGGTCTTCAGTTATGTTGCTTGTAATTCAGACACAAGTATCAATGTGACCCCAAGCAGACAAGTGGTTTCCAGCTTCTCACGGACTATCTATAAACAGTGTAGCTAGTACTGCCATGCTTGAAGTTTTCACAACTTGTTTTACGAAACATTCTCCCGCAGTCAACCAAGAAATCAGGCTCTGCCACCAACTCAGATTCCACCAATCAGAATGCAGATGGTATCATGACATCATCAGGGAGTCAATTGTCCACTTCACCTACCAGCCAATCACAGAGTGATCTGATTCAAGCAGAGGAAGCTCCTCCCCCAACCATCTCCAGACGAATCTCCACCTCTCAGTCATTAGACAAGCCTCTAGGAGTGGACCAGGCTATACTTCACAGTATTGACTGTTGCTGTAAGTTCACGTAGAATATCAAAGCATCCGTCTGAGCTAATTTTCTGTTTTGAAGGTGTAGCCACATGAAAGATAAATGAAAACAGATATGAGGTACACAGTAACAAAGTGTTGTCTTTTTATATTGGCACACACAGCCCCTTTAATATTCCTCTTTGGGGGAGGGGCATAAACTTTCCACACCTCCTGCAGATTTATTTTTGCCCCTATTCACACCTGTTTCCTTCCGACAGTTTATCAACATGCCAATCCATCAACAACTACTTTGGGTTTACAGTTGAGTGTGTACAATTGTAACAGAGGTCAAAGGTTATTGTAAGAGAATCATAATCTTGTCTATTCATTCACCAGCTACAAACTGTTACAAAAATCATGGTTTTTGCATTTAGAAAAAAAGGTATTGTCATGCAAGGGTAGAGATAATGCAACCTCGTTAGTAACCAAGAAAACAATAACAGCAATTCAAATATTCATCATCTATCTTGAGCAGCATCTGATGAAACCAAAAAGAAGATGTATAGCTGTATCTTGGTAGTTGGAGGAGGGCTGAGTCATTTCCAAGGGGCGTCAGATATGTTACAGCATCGTGTACAAACTAAGATGCCACCGTCATTTCGTAAGGTAGTGGACAAAGTGGAAGTCATCTGTAAATCCAAGGTAATCACAGTATTTTGTGAGTAAACAGTTTCAGTTTGACGATGTCTGTTCCGCCAGATTTTTATTTAGTTTTTTAAACAACTTTTTTTGAAGTACTTTAGCAACTTATGTTTAGGCGCGATGTAATCCTACCATTCATGAGCTACATGTTGGCAGCTTTCAGAGCTGTAGTATTAATAATCTCTTTTTGAACGTTTTGCTGCAGAGAATTCTTTATGACTATCAAGTTTGGAAAACAGTGTGTTAGTAATTTTGGTTGTACTCCAAAGTCTTTGTCTATTCTCTCAAAGACAATTTGGAGATATAGTGTCTTCTAGTTGTATAAAATCTGTGCCCAGCTCAGATTTATATATGCCATGTGGTTTTTTCCCTGAATTTTCGTAGGATCTTGACCCACGGATGACGTGTTGGAAGGGGGGCACAGTCTTAGCATGCCTGGACACTGCACAAGAGTTGTGGATTAGACAGAGAGAATGGAAGACACATGGACTCAAGGTGTTGAGGGAACGCTCACCCTTCGTCTGGTAGCAGCATTATGCGTAGATTTCATTTTCTAACTTTACCAAGCATTTATCCAGGGTTTGTGAACCCTGCAAAACTTGGAGAAGGAAGTCCTGCTAAAGATGGAGCCAGAAATGAGTTTGAAAATTCCCCCCTCCAAAAAAAGACAACTCATATTTGGAATTTCATTGTTACCTATCCTGTGTGAGGATTTGGGGCACTTTGGAGGTGATGAAGTCCTTCAGAAAAACTTTAGAATTTGGTCCATATATCCTGGAGAAGCCTTAACAGAGTTGAATGTCAATCCAAGGGATTAAAGCTGAAGATGCAGTGGAAGTAAAACCAGAGATGACAAGTGCTTGGCAAGGAGCATAAGTGGGTTATTTGATTCTGCATATATGTACCTGTTAGGTATTTATTGTAAAGTACCCATTCACTCTTAGTTATAAATAGATAATCCATTAAGCCCCGCCCATTATTTTGGACCAATCACAGTCAGGATTTATGTTTAACATGCGTGCACAAAAGTCTGAAATGTATGCATATGCTTATGATGCGCGCTGCTGAAACATGTAGTGTGGCGTTGGAGAACACGTGCTATGTGCCCACATGTACAGAGGGCAGAGCTTACTGGATCAGTCTGCTGCAAAATATGAATGGGTGCATGGACTGTGCATTTTTGTATAGTTTTTATATGTTGGAACTTTGGCCAGGTTTGAACAACGGCAAAGTGCATTTTTGAATAAATGTTTGCCACTTGAGAGGTACAGCCTTAGTGATATTCATGAATATCTGGGTCTTGTGTGTTGTAATAGACCCCTTGCAGCTGGTAATTGGTATTGTTTCCTTTGACATAATTGCATTGATTGCACCTGTTCACCATCATCTGATCACTTATATCCCTTTAAATAGGGCCCAAGAGCTGTACTACCTCCATGCCCTGGGTATAGAGTCTGTCTAGTACCTGGGTCTCATTTATGGCATATGTGGGGCTACCATGAATGACGAATTTCAGTTACGCTCCATCCCTAGAAGTCTTGCACTCAAGGAGAAGACCCCCCGTGAAGAAACCATCCCTAGGCTTCCCTTGGTCACCACTTTTCACCCTCATCTTCCTCCCCTCTGCAAAATAATCAACGACAATCATCATATCCTCCACACTTCAGACTGCCTAGCCAGTGCCATCTCAGACACCCTGCTTGTGACTTTAGTACAGGCGCAACTAAGAGTTGAGACTACAACATAATTATACAGCATGAAGGTTTCTGCCTTAATGAACAAGACTTAGCTTAGCAAACAGTAAGGGTTCAGCACTTACGCATAAAGGAAATACAGAATAATTGAAATGGCATAATGAATTCTCATGAATGATCAGCAAGAATCTCTGTACAAGCATGAACTCTGACATTGCTGCTGGCAAAGCAAAGCCACTATACATTTTCAAGATCAAGATTTCAAGAAAATAATAATTCCACTGTGTGACCATTGTAAAATAACTTGAACCTTCACTTACCCTTAGGAAGCCAAATGGAAGACTAAACAGGGCCAATAATGTGATCTTGAGTCTTCCAAACACTAAAAACTTACCTTTACTCTGAAAAGGCTAGCATCAGAATGATGTGGCAAGATGAGCAGCATGGACTGTTCATTAATTACCTGTTGCCCACTGATTCACTGTTTCATCTAAAATTTTACACTTAAAATATTTAAAAGATACCAAACGGTCCTACAAGCTTTGAACAATCGATAATTTAAACTTTTTGAAGCTCTGTAGCTATGAAACTCTCTCTAGACAGAATGGCAAATCTCATTTTAAAAAGATATATACATGTCTAAATATCACACCAGGTGTTTCCCCAGTTCTAACTTAATATATACATAAGTTTAATATTTGCAATAACAAACAGAAACATTTCAAGTCAATGAATTAATCTGGTTTATTTTATACATATCTGAGATCCCAAAAGAAACAAACAAGAAATAAGAGAGTTCCATTTATTAACATACACATGAGATCGATCTTCAATGAATTCCAAGACTGAAACAACATATGGGGCCTGGGCCTAGCTACAAAAGTCAGCAGAAAAAACCTGCTACCGTAAACCATGCTGATAATAATCTACCAGGACCCTATTGATGCCCATTGTTTCAGTAAAATTACTTTCACCTGACAAAGTTTTTCCCATGTGGAATTCAATTAAAAATAAATGACTGTTGAAACACAGAACTGATTTCCACCAAAACAGGGGTTGCCATTGCCCAATGGAGAGGGGGAGTTTAATAAAATTACTGAAAAGTGAAACCATACAAGCAAGAAGTAAACATGTCCATGAAAAGAACTCAATTAAATGAATCAAAATAATTAAGTTAAACCAAAAAATTCATCTATTTACAAGGTACTATTTTGTTGACAAACACGAACAAATATCTGTGATAAGTCTTTTGAAAATACTTGTGCATGTATGTGTAGAGATCTTGATAGAGTTAGATATAATCATGATAATATCCAACTCTATGACAGTTCTTACATCTCATGACCTTGGCAAATACATTAGTCCTTTATTAAATGTAATAAATTCAAAATGTCAGTATCACACTGAACACAAGGGAACAGAAGAAAGATGAACAATTGGCATTGCGTGGTAGCCATCTTGCAGGGCAGTTTGTTTTCCACAGAGAAACCTCCTTTATGCATACCCTGTGGAAAAAAGCACTGGCCTGCAAGATGGCGGCTGTGCAAATCCTCTTTAGTGCATAATTACACATTCAAAGTCAAATGGTTAATACAGTGACATAACATGGATAAAATTCTCAAGGGGGGGTGCACACACTTTTCAGGGGAACATCAAAAGCCAAGGAAGTATGGCTTGTACTTCTGTTTTGGGGGGCCCAGCTTGGACACGGATCTTGTTATTTACAAATTATGCCACTGTGATCTTTCCATGACAATATGACCATATGATTTAAAATTGCGACTGAAGAATGGTAATTTCAACAGAACTAGTACAAGTACTTGTACTAGTACTTGTGCTAGTACTTGGGCTAGGACTTGTGCTGGGACTTGTGCTAGTACTTGGGCTAGGACTTGAGCTAGGACTAGTATTTGTAGTACTCTGGGGAGCTGACTGCATTCTCACCGCAAATCATTTTCCACTTTCAGCAGAGCAGCGAGACTGGTACGACCAGCACACATAATTGACTTTTTCTAATGAAATCATTTTTCCCCAAGGTCAAGAGGCATAATTTCAAACAATTTTATTTTCTGCTGCCTTTATCATCAGCTTGTTTGGGTCCACATCAGTGGCTTGTCCATACAAGCGTCATCATTGAGTGTGGAATACAGCACACACTCTAACAGCAATTGTTAGTTTGTGAGCGATAAATCGTCAACACGAGAGCCAAGAAATGGAGTTGGTCTAAGATTACAGGAAAAACACTGCATATACATTATCAGACATTAAGGAAAGGATGTATCATGAGGGTGCTATGCATGCTCAAACTTAACTACAAATAAATGACTGTAATTGTTGCCAGTCTTTTTCTTAAAGTGGACAAAAGGATATGAACTAAGTTGATGTTTTCTCTTAGAAAAATGTACAGAAATATACACAGGTTTTAACATTGGGGACACGGCAAAATACTTTCCAGTCTTTGCTTTAATTTTTATGGGTGAGTGAGAAACGAATCCAAAGATGAGAGCGGCTCGTGAGATGTCTGACAAAAGATGAGGAAAGAAAGGACGGAAGACCGTAGGTCTCTCCTAGTAGTTCTCCTGTTGACGATGTAGCTCTTGCCCACTGTAAGGGATTACAGTGGGCATTTACCTGCAAGGTGACCAGTAGACAATAGGATGCAATGACAGAAGTCAACCATTTCAACATCTACTCTTAAAACATAAAAATTTTGAATACAGTTAACACAAACTGTCCAGTAGAAGATGTTAAACTTTTGTCTTTCCAAAAGAAATCAAGTTTTTTAAAAAGCTTCCACGTATGAAGCTAAAAAGCAAGTTCCTTCAGCATTTGTGTGTACATTGAGGCCCTGATGTATCAAGATCCCTCTTCAATAAGAATTTCGGTAATGCATGAGAAATGGAAGGATGCAACTCTGTTTCATCCCACATCAGTTCTTTACAATCTTCTGATAACGTCAGCTGTGGAAGTTTACCAACTGTAACCTCTTTTGTTTGTTTGTCTTTTCTCGTCCAAACCAAGGAAAGTCCTCACCTTCCTCATCCACCTCCGGCAGGGGGTGGGGCCCTTGGTGCTCCACTCCCACCCCTAAATCCACCCATTCTTCTTCTTGGGCCTGGTGGTGGGCCAAGCCCTCTCCTGGTGAGGATAATAAGGAAATGAGAATAAAAGATCACAGACCTAAATCCAAGTTCGAGAAGTAAACTTAACTCTGGATGTTTTGCTACAGGCAAAAGATTTTTCAGTTGTGATGACTAAGTTTGATAGTTAAGCAGTGACTGCTCATAAGGAAGCCATTCAAGAACATCACTGTGTGCATGGCTATTTATAGCTTAGTCTTACCATCTTGGCAGTACGCCAATTCACAGGTGTGATATATGGCGGTATCTGCCCTCAACTGAAATGCATCCTCACCGGTGAAAGAAAGACAAATTGTACTGAGTTTTCCAACCGGGTTCTTTTAGCGTTCAGCTTGCACGCGAATAAATTTGTTGTGCGTATTCAGCAAACGTGTCAAACGCGCATAAACTTGAATGAGTACCAAAGGACTTTCAATTTCATTTCAAAACACGCCCTCTTTTGTTGCTGCTCAGAACGGATATTCTCACATGACACTGCCTTTTAGAAATATCAGTTCACTTGTACCCAAGTGGTCAAACTAAAACTAAATGAGAATGACACTACCAAGTATGCAGGACAAAACTGAGCAACTTTTCCACCAGATGTAAAACTCAGATATTCAGAATGACACTAAAGTGCCAAGTATGCAGGACAAGACTGAGCAACTTTTCCACCAGATGTAAAACTCAGATATTCAGAATGACACTAAAGTGCCAAGTATGCAGGACGAGACTGAGCAACTTTTCCACCAGATGTAAAACTCAGATATTCAGAATGACACTAAAGTGCCAAGTATGCAGGACAAGACTGAGCAACTTTTCCACCAGATGTAAAACTCAGATATTCAGAATGACACTAAAGTGCCAAGTATGCAGGACAAGACTGAGCAACTTGTCCACCAGATATAAAACTCAGATTGAAAGTCAAGGTAAGAGTTTTCTTCCCTTTCACAAAGCCCGTACACTTCCAGATCTAAGAGGTTTAAAAGATTTTGTAGGATTGAGGATTGAACCAAGCTTAATTAAGAAACCCTGTTCTTCCTCAAACAGCTGAAAATCTGTAGTCTGCATAATAGTCCATGATCACTTTGTTCAGATATTATACACCAACAACTTTTCAAAGTTTAATGTCCTGTCTATAAAAGTGCAAGTTGGATCAGGGAAGTTCAACAGATTTGAACGGGTTGGATGTCATCCATAATGATACCTACCCGCCTCCATTTCCAGCTTGGTAGCTTGACGTGTAGCCACGCCCCTTGCCAGTTAAGTCAGGCTGTGGAAACATGATTATGAAATAATATTTTTGTGGAAACATTAACTTTAATTGGACTAATTCAGGAGGTGTATTGCAAAACATTTTGAAAGAGCTAAAACTCATTTATAAACTAATCATGCAACATATTACTTGGTGATAATTGTACTAGCTAAACGGAAGAACTTCAAAACCACAGCTGAACTATTTCTCTAGATTTGGAAGATAACACTGAAACCCCGATTTGGCACATTCATGTAGTGTACATGATAAAACTATTTTATGACAACTGTTGTATAATATTTATAATATTAATATGAACTTGAAAATGCAGAGATAAGCTTACCGTAACCATTGTTCGGAAGCTGTCGTGAAAAGAACAGAAAACAAGGAGTTTAAAAGGAACAAGCAATTTACATGTATCTTCAGGAGTACACAATGGTAACAGCTAACAATAGTGAGAATAAAAACATCTTGAACCCCCAGTTTAAAAAGCCAAACTGACCACTCCTTGTCAGAAAAACAAAATCAAATTTCAAGACACAAGAGACCAAAATATTTGACACATTTAACTAACACTAATTTTGGATGGGTTGTAGTACTTGTATTTATGAAGACTAAAATAAAGATATGTGAAACATACTGCACTCCAGAGGGGAAAATTAATTTAAAAGAAGAAAAAATTGCAAATTTAAAGGTATAAATACAAGTAAAGGTATGGTGTATGTTGATGATTGCTACAGTAAACAAACATGTACATATATGAATCCCGGTAAACCTTGTACATAAATGCTATACTCACAACAATATGACAAAGTTAATGATGCCCCAAAACACTTCCCCAATGAACGCCAGTCTCCATGGTGATCTTGACTCCAGTATCTGACCTGTTGGAGGTGAACAAAAGCAACTTACAATGTAATTTGTTGATTCATTAATATGAGATGTAATTCAATTTCATGATTTTATTTTGCCATTCACCAAAACCCTTGTAAAAATGTTAGTACCAAACCGTAAGATTGAAAGCATTTCCTGCTAACCATTAGATAGGCTCCATTGATCTATCAATACTTGGCAGGGGATAATGAATTGGTCAGGAACTGATCTAGGTCTGATACACATATACATGTTTTATATTAACCCAAACAGTCCTCAATCCTCCAACAGGTGAAGGTTTGAGGAGTGCTAGGGTTAACGTACTAAAAACTAACCATGCACAGTATTTTGGGGACTTAAAACATTCCACCCTAACAAATCTTCATCTGGTTCCATGTCAACAGTGCTAATTTGAATTTATGTTCATAAACCAGAGTTCGGGCCCAGGGCAAATTCTGAAATTCTCCACAGCCACAAAACATAAAAAGCAGGTGAAATATCCTGCAATTTAATGTGTCAGTTGAAAAAAAAGGAGTATGATATTGTAACTTTAGGGGGAGCATAAAATCCTTGACATAAAGACTTGAATCCTCCGTCAAAATTGCTTGAGGAGTATACTAACAGAATCTGGGTCACATAATAGCAGGAGTCTCAGGACAATTCATACCCAGGTCAATTCACACTTGGGTCAGCTCGTACCCAAGTCAACTTGTACCTGGGGAAACCTGTACCCCAGGGACCCTGTTTACAGGTCTGACATGTTTACAAGGGAACTCCACACAAAGCCCAGGCAAAAGGCAATTTATTTATGATGCTGTAACCTATGGAACCTTCCCCTGCACAGGGCCTATTTTTTATGCTCGTTGCTCCGAGGTGATACATTTGAGATTTCTTTGTTATAACCCTCTTCCCAAATCCACATTCCCTTCGACTGGCACTTAAATTGATCAGAGGGTGTTCCCGAGTGCCTCCACAAAAAAAGCACAAAAAAAGGTCTGAGTGCGAACAAGGGAAGGGGTCCCACCACAGTCAACAAAAATTTGACACCCCCCAACACAATGAAACTACTCAGACAGCTGTCTAGACAGTTCAGAGACGTATCAGAGAGACCGACCATTGATATAAGACAGGCCCAGGCTAGCCCAGGCACTTGGTTTGTCAATAGTCCCTTATCAGCATGTGGCTGAAATATTTACATACAATCAGGAGGTTTTTGCATTTGGCCGAAAACATTTTTTTAATTACGTAATTAGACAAAATTGGATCCCCAGTGTAGCAACTCCGAGCGCCAAAAGGTTTTAAAAGAAGAGTACAAAAGTCCAAGTGGGCTTTCTTTCACCAGTTAGGGTGCACTTCAGCTAAGGGCAGATACTGGCCTCAAACTTAAAACATGGCATGACATGGAGAAAGGAAAACAGGCATAAGGCTTCCGCGTGTGTTGAAGTGCCAACTTCGCTAGGCTAAAGTGGTCATACTAATTACCGTCAACACACAACAGACCGTCAACACAGCATCAACACCTCCAAAACACGTTAAAAATCAAAAGAAGCGGTACTTGACAGTAAAGTATTTGCCGAAGGGATATTTTGACTAACCATCAACAGGTTAGACTCAGGAAAATTGCCATTTTAATTTGGCTGAATCGCCTCCTTCGAACCAGCTCAGATATCAGCAGCCATGTTGCCCTTGGGGCAACTGGAACCATACCATTACGCTAGAGGGGTGGTGATATTATATGTAAAGAAACGCTACCTTTTCCTTTAAAGTTACTATCTATATTTTTACTTTTCTTAAGATTTTATAACTGACCCTTTTTGAATTTCGACAATAACTATTGATGCTGTTTCTGCTATATTGATTGTTACTCTCTTAAAATGTATTTCAATTTACAGCATATCCACAACTAAATGGTACAGTCCAAGCTCCATGAGGAGGCAAAATGGTGCCGATTGGCTAGTGCCGGAGATCATTTTTTGTGTGTGAAAAAACTCCATTTTGAAAATTGATTTGTGATCTCGAACTACTGTAAAGTAACTTTCAGCCCAAGTATTACACTTCTACGCCTCTTTTGTGGATTAAAGTTGAATTTTCGGGAAGTTGGCGTTACTATCGTGTGTTGACGGTAATTAGTAAGACTAACAAGAGTATACCATGGACCATGGACAGGAGGAAGTAACACCCGGCTACATGTAAAAAGAGCCTCGGCCTATCTAATTCCACGTCAAGGAAAGAAAATATTCTCTCGCTTATAGCAAGAGCCAATTCCAATTTAAAACACTGAATGTCACCATAAATTCGCGAGACGGCAATCAAGACACTGCCAAACAAACATCCACGTCCAAGATTAACCATAGACATGATGATGGAAGACGGAAGACAACTTACCACCTTCCGATATGTACGCCATGTTTACATCTAACGTTAGTGCTACATCATGCAATTACAGCGCCCTCAAGGACACTTTGCGGACTTGACACCCGGCCACAGGGTATTATATCCGAGTCCCTGTCGGCATGAAACAAGTTGACTTCATGCAAAGCACTTTTGCCAGTGATTTCAGATTTCTTGTTTTAATTTGCTGTTTAACTTTTGTTTGTTGTAATTAACGTAATGTATAAGAACTAATAATTTTTATGTGGACAGGCAACTCCGTATAAGTTATTGTAATTTTAACAAAATGTTTTAATGTGTTTTAATTCTATGTAAAAACTTTTGTAATTTGGCCTTTGGCCAAGAAGAAACTTTATAAATAAACCATTTTGAATTGAACTGAATTGAATTAATCATTATGACGGTATACATCTTTATTTTTGCGGATCAATGAAAAGGAGTGCGTACAAAAGGCGATAATGAACAGTCCTCTGCGTCACTATTTCGCATGACAAAGCCAACTGAAATATGATATGAGAAAGTGCTCTAACTGCATTTATTTAAAATATGCCTACAGTGAAGACCCAAAGTCTTAGAGACGGGATAAATTCTTTTTCCTTCCCCAAAGCTGTGTAAAAATAATGCTAATTATACACTACAGAAAACCAGTGCACATGTTGGAAAGACTCCAAGAAATCAGGACGTGGTTCAGCTCTAAAACTTTACAAACAGGTATCTATCAAATCAATTATCAGGGAAATAAATCATTGCATGCACCGGCACTTTCATTTCAAGGGTGCACACCTCAAACATACATTCAGCACTCCCAGATAAAGCAAATTGACCTCCTGTACCAACAGTGATTTTTTTCAAGGCAGTTTAATAATACTACATGCAAATATTGACAAAAATACTGTTGAAAATAAAATTTCTGGAATATATTTTGTCATATTAATTTTTTTTCACAAAGGGAATAACAAAATACTTTCCCTACCAGCAGATACTTAGCACACATTCTTAGAGACAAGAACCAATGTCTCAACACCATAAAACGTAAATGGTATCTGATCCTAAATGTAGGAAATGACCCTGTTTTGCACAGCACCCAAGAACAACATAACTTACACAATAGCATGACCAGTATGTTAAACAGTCAACAGTCTGCTGAACTGATTCCCATTTTGGATATACCAATATATATTCTTACATGTGGAAATATAATTATAAATTTATGAGAATACAAAGATACACATTAGAGTTAATGCTGCAGAAATTATGCAAGATAATCATTTCTTCAAAAAATAGCTCTTTCAAAGGGGAAAATGGAATGTAGTAATCATAATCCAGTACACGTGATGGATAAAATACAAAATAAAGCTTTATAATGTTTTCCTGTCCAATGATTGATCATCGTTACTCACATATATTCACATCTTGACAAGTCCTTTTACGTCACTGATAGTTTCAACCAGAAGTCTTGGTACAGAAAACTATTCGTAGAAATGACTTTTGAAATATCAAAACTTTCTCTTGCATATGTTAGTTGATACAAACTTTGTTACTCTTCCAAATGTGATATGGTACCAATACCCAGTTTCCACATAGTACTTGATTTCTAATTTAGTAGTACATTAGAGAAAAATGACACAACTGGCTATTTAAACTAAACAAAACTCTACAAAGGCTGTGATTTTTTGCCTGATAAAATACACCTATTTCAGAGGAGCACAAGGAGAATGGTGGTCAGCTAGGACCTCAGGAGTTTGTCTATATCCTGATGAACTTATTGTTACCGATATTATCCCCACACAAGTACATTTCTGCTATATTCTGTGGCCATTATTTGACCATTCTCACCAACAAAAGGGTTTAATGCATGTATGAACATATTAAAAATGGTCAAAACTTCTTTCAACTCTGCACTAAGTTTGCTAAAAGCTTGAACAAAATCACATACAAAATACTTTAGGAAAACACATGCAAAAGAATACCATTAATGCATACTAAATGTAATACTGTTGGTTCATCGTTCAGCTTTGGGCTCGTTAAACAATTGCATGAAGAAGCTCACAACTTCATTTTATTCTAACCCTGTTTCATTTGGCAAATTTCGTGCCCTGTGTGATGTACGTTGTGACCCACATCATTAACAGACCGCCATACTGATGACAACACACTTTGGTTTACCTGTGTGCTTTCCAATCATGCTCAGTGGACCATAGGCTCTCACTGACTCCATGGCAAAGTGCATAATGTATACAAGAGACTGACATCATCGGTACATATGGTAGGCCTATTCAAACCATAGAGAACTGAACTGACGATAAAACAGATCACAGAGGCCAATAATATACATCTGATCATTACATTCTTTGATGTGAACGATGATCTTAATTTTCAACATGCTGGTTTTGTAATACTTCAACAGAAAAATGCTAATACAAAATAATGAAAGTATAAAATTATGAAGACATGCATAGAATACAATTCTATTGTAAACTTGGAATCACATTCTTTTTACAAATATTGAATACTGAACATAACAGCTGTAATTTCAAAATACATAAATACTTTGAAGAATCTGACCTGTTCCAAGGACAATAAATCATGCATCAAAAGCAATAATTTACATTTTGAAGTCCGGTTGTTTCTCAGATATCACTTCTTGATTATCATCTGTTCCTAAACAGTTACTTTTGCTAATATGCCATGACATGACTTGGAAATTTTTACTTTGCAATTTTTCTTTCCCAGAGCCTATACTTTCTGTCACTAAGAACCATGTGAAACTTTGGAAATATGAGAAAAATTTCAAATTCCAGAGTCGATGTTTCGAACCAAAGGTTTGTGCAGATCTACGAAATATAATCTTGCAATCATTTTGAAGACACAATTTAGCAAGTCTGATTGGTCTAATTTTCAACTTACATAGAACTTCTACACAAGTCAAATGCGGTTCAACAATTTCAATTGTGACTGTTGTCAATGTACACTGATTTTTAAAAATTTTACTTGGACTTCTCAAAATCATAAATCACTAATAATGCTGCATGGTGTAAACTTGGTGAAAAATTAACTTAATTGACTAAAATTAACATTTTAAGAATTTAGTATTGTTACAAAAATCTTTTTCATAATTTCACAGTGTACTTAGACAATTACCTTATCTTTATGAGAAGTTATGTAAAATCAATTTAATGCATGCAACATGCAGAGATTCAACAATTTAACCCAACAAAATAACCAGAGACCAATGACAACATCTGTGATGCTGCAACAGTAACTAGACAGGTTAAATTAGCCTAAATAAAGTCTCCACAAAGAAAATATAAAATTGTTCACATATTTTGCAATAGGTAATAACATCTTTAATAACAATGCCATGTTGCACCAAGCACATATACTCAAAATAAATTTACATTTTGTCCAAGAATACGAAGACGACAGACTGCTGCATAGTTCAATACTTTATGCATTTGATGGTACCAACAGGTGGATTGAATATAATACTATAATATTGCTTTGAGGTTATCAAAAGTGTGACCATATGGTGAAATAACTTGAAGTTGCTAATGGGTTCCATTGAGGGCTAAATTCCAAGCATATATAATGAGCATAACGGTATCAAATGCGCATCTCATGTGGTCTTAAATTTTAAGGCTGCGTGGATTTGGGTAAGTCATTACACTGGTTGAGGAGACATATAGCACCATGCATTAACTACCCAAGAGTACTGTACCATGGCAGTAATGGCTACTAGTTCTAATCGCTGTAATAGGGTGCATCTGAATCTGTTGTTTAGAGCTAGGTCTAGGTCTTCACTACATTGGAAACACACAGAGATGTGCAGACAATAGACCTAGCCGTAGCTCTAGAAGCCCGCTTTGGACACAGCAATAGTTTTCGAGATAATGCTGTGACTTGCTGACATACATTGCAGGATACATTACAAGTGGAGTGTCAATGATTGCTATCTTCCGAAGACAAGAAAAGAACGCACCTCAACACAAGAAAACTGCAAAAATGACTCAAAAATATCCGTCAATAATTGCATCATCTGCCTTTTTATAACTGAGTGTAAAATATGCATGGATTCATGGTACTGGATAAGGTCACGATACATAATAGTTTAATGTATGCTATTATAACTCAAACAGGCACCAACATAGGCTACATTTTGCAATGCTGCATAAAGTAAAACTTTTTAGAGGGTGCACCTGTCGATCCATGCAATGTTCAAACCTACCCTTTCAAAGTGGGCATCTTATGATTGGTGAGACCCAGTGAGTGATGGGCTCACCAAGACTGAACTGGAATGTCTCTTGGCTTGTCCTCGTTAAGCTTGACTGAGTGAAGCTTCAGCCTCCTGGATGCTCCAAGCACTGACTCAGATTGTATCTGTCAAGAAAAACAGGAGGGACTTATACATGTAAATGAGCAAACTTATTCAGATGACTATGAATATTCATGAAAATGGAAGTCTTGATTCTATTTTCCTAAGAACAAGATACTTCACCACTATTTTAAAGAACTGTCTTTCACAAACTTATTTGCAAAGGTAGGACTTGTACCTACGGCTTCTTGCTTGACTTAATCGGTACTTACTAGTTACTGATCTCTTTCCACTCAACAACTGAGCTTGCTGAGTGCACTGCTCAGTTATTATCTGATATGATGGCAGACATCCTCAGCTAAATCCTAATTAGAAACATTTACATTTTCCCAATGCCCAAACTGTTTGAATCTTAAGTTAAGTGTCCATACCATACATAAATTATCAATATGGCAATACCATTACTCAAAGTTATCGATATAATTCTGG